GTGAAGATCACCTTTTGGGAGAAATTAGACGAATTTTGTTATGAATTATTTATTTTGTTATTTAATGTTATTAAACCAAGCATATTATTGTATTTATTTATATTATTAATAAAGAGTCATTTTGTTAATACCTGAGGTGGCAAACATAATTCTCTATGGGCTCAGGTGTTACACTGTTTATTTTTATTACTGGTACCATGATAAGCGCCGATTCTCATGTTACGATTTTTTTTTTTTAATTTTCCTTACTAAAAAATTTTTTCTCTTAGTTATCGAGAACTCATGAATCAGGAGCTGCACTTACTACAGTAAGTGTCAATTTCTTTTTTTTTCAGTTCTAAATATTTTTTCTAGTTTTACTAATATTTTTAAAAAAAAAAGTTTTTTATTTTCATTCTTTATTTTTCACTGCTGCGGTATTACGATAAGCGCCGTTTTGGGTATTTAATTTAACCAATATTTTTCTTTTCGTGTGAAAAAAAAATTTTATAAACTTTTTAAACCGATCACTCAGTCAAAAAACTTGCTGAAAGAAAAACTAACAAAAACGTTATACACTCTTAATAATAAAACTTAAAAAAAAAATTAAGAATGAAAACGTATTACTAGAAGAAGTTTGAAAAATATCAATAAAAACTTGATACCATTTTTAAAAGTTTATGAAATATGTAAAGCATAAGTCAAAATATCTGTTTAAATAATGAAACTGCCGAGAAAAGGCTACGTAAAAATAGCATTTGTTTTATCTGATTTTCAATTGAAGTGGCTATAGGAAAAGCAATTTATAAATCTTTGGAGTAAGAAAGTCCCGATGGCGCCAGTGCTAGAGGATAAATTAGAAGTTACAGAAGAATTTTTAAGAGAAAGGAAGTATAGTTAGAAGCTAAAGAAAAAGATTTGCCAATGAATAGGTAAAGGAATTTAATTCACTGAATGCAAATTTTACATCAAGACTTAATTATGATCATCCATCACCCATTTTATCACCATTTAGCAATTTGCTGTTCCGAAAGCATTACCAAATTTACGATCAAGAAGTCAAAAAGCATGTCAATGGAGATGATGATAGAGAAAAATAGAGAAATTTTTAAAGAAACAGTTTAACTAAATAGACAAATCAGATATTTTTTTTTAAATAGGTACATTCATTTAATTGTATAGCATTATTTACTATTTAATATCATATTGATGTTTAATAAAATAAATAAAATAATATAAAATACAAACTAATGGACAATTCCAACACTTACTTATATTTAATAATCGAAAAGTTATAAATGATTTATTTAAATTACAAACCAAGAAATTTGTAAAATATTTACTACTCTAGCCTTAGTGTTTAAATAATTCTAAAAATAATACACATTTAATATTTGGATAAAATATAAAAACGGAATTATTTAAATTACAAACTAAGAATCTTGTAAAATATTTCACTAATCTAGTCTTAGTGTTTAGATAAATCCACAAAAAAAAATAAAATAAAGAATAATTTCTGTTGAATGCATGATATCAAATATAACTTAAAAAAGAACTATAAATCTTTTTAAAGTTAATCTTCATCTGTTTTAATATTTAAGTAAATAAAATTAATTTCACATAAATAATTTGCAAGATTAGTTTTTTTTATATATTATAGTACATACCTAATAATGATCTCAGTTCTTTAATTATATAATCATTTAAATCTTCACTTACTTACTTTTACACTAGCTTGTGAATCTTCTCTTTCATTCAATTTTTTACTAGTATTTTCATCTGTTATAAATAATTAAATAAGTAAAATCAATTCCATATAAATAATTTACAAAATTACTTTTTTTTATTGTACACTATAACATACCTAATGATTTCATATCATTAATTAAACAATCATCCAAATCTTCACTAACTGGCCTTTTATTTACTGTTTCATTAATAGTAAAATAACTTGCATAACATGCTTGTGAATCTTCACTTTCAAGAATTTCATTCAATTGTTTACTAGTAAAATCAAGTAAACGACTTGTATAATATGCTTGTGAATGAGATTCAATAGCAAGATCATTATGATGTCCAATTGGTGCATTTATAAATTGCATAACAATGCGTTTAAATTCTTTATTAAGATCTTCAGTATCCAAATAATGAGGAAAAAAAATCCAATTTCTAATAATGTTTCTCACTTCTGATGTAGATGGCCTTTTTGATGGATCTTCATTTTCATCAAATCTACATAACATCGTGGAGTATTTCAATAATTTCAGGCCGTTCACCTTTACAAATACTTATACTAAGATGAATATCATGTGCTTTATTATTAAATGGTGGTACCCCAGATGTAAATTCCCACATAATCATAGAAAAGCTATATATATCACTAGCTGGAGTATAAGATTTGCCTCTTAAAATTTCAGGAGCCATAAATGGTATAACACCATAAATATCATACTTTTTCAAAAATGATTTTACAGGTCGACATAATCCTAAATCACTAATATAAATTTTATCATTATCCTTATTATTATGATTTAAAATATTTCCATCATGAAAATCACAATGAATAAGCTTTTGTTCATGTATCTTATTAAGTCCAGAGATAATTTCATATAACATATATAATTTTCGGTTCCAATTATTTTTGATTATTTCTATCAAATTTCCTCTTAAATTACCTTTGCTTGCATAATCCATTACTGCCATATATTTTAAAGTATCTGGATTTTCTGTAAATCCATAAAAATAAATAATATAATTTGAATCTAAACAACTTTCATGATATTTCCACTATAAATAATAATATAGTCTATTAGTATAAATAAATTAATTTAAACAAATAAATAAATAATATACTATCATACTTCATTTAAAAATTCATTTAAATTTTCATTTAAATTTTTGTGACATTTAAGAATTACGTCCCTATCAATATAATTATCTTGCCAAATAGCTCTGTATATAGTACCAAATCCTCCTTCATCAAGATATTCAACACTTCTAAATTCATAATAAGGAATCCATTTTAACCTTTTTTCAGATATAAATTCATCTATAATTTCATTTCCACTTTTTACAACTCTATAAAATTAAATAATTAAAATTATATTAAAGTTTATACTGAAATTTATACTAAAATTTAAGATTAAAATTAACACTTACTCTAAAATTTAAATAGGTATTTAATATAATATGTCTTAATTAGTTTTTGTATGAATACATATATAATAATAACTTATATTTCACAACTTACTAACTAAAGTAATAGAAATTTTTTAAATGAAAGAATTCAGTTAAACATTAAAATATAACAATAGAAACAAAAATAACTTACACCCTATATTATAATAGATCGTGAGTTATAAGTTATTTATTAATCTTATTTATATAATAAAATAAAGAATTTAGTTAGTTAAATTATATGTAAATATTATATAAATAAGTAACAATAGAATTAAACAAATAACTTATAACTTACTATCTATTAAATAAAGAATTTAGTTAGTTTAAACTATATGTAAATATTATATAGTAAATAAGTAATAATAGAATTAAATAATTAACATACCATCTATAAAATAAATTTTTTAAATAAAGTTAGTTTAAATTGAATGTAAATATTATATAAATAAATAATAATAGAACTAAATAAATAACTTACACCCTTTAAATAAAAAATTTAGTTTAAAATATATGTAAATATTATATAAATAAGTAACTTTAAAAAATTTTTTAAATAAAAAATTTAGTTAGTTTAAATTATATGTAAATATTATATAAATAGATAATAATAGAATTAAATAAATAACTTATAACTTACGATCTATTAAATAAAGAATTTAGTTAGTTTAAATTATATGAAATATTATATAAATAAGTAATAATAGAATTAAATAACTTACACCCTATATTATTAAATAATTTTTTAAATAAAGAATTTAGTTAGTTTAAATTATATGTAATATTATATAAATAAGTAATAATAGAATTAAATAAATGACATACTATCTATAAAATATTTTTTAAATAAAGAATTTCAGTTAGCTAGTTTAAATTATATGTAAATATTATATAATTAAGTAACAATAGAATAATAAATAACTTACTCCCTATATTATTAAATAATTTTAAATAAAGATTTAGTTAGTTTAAATTATCAGTTATATGTAAATATTATATAAATAAGCAATAATATAACTTACTAACTAAAAGAAATTATAAAATAATTTTTTAAATAAAGAATTTAGTTAGTTTAAATTAAATAAATAATAGAAATATAGATATCACACAACTTCTGTAGTATTATTAATTATTAAGTAGTTAGATATATATATAATACAGAAGTATTTACTATAAATTAAATATATTACTTACAATCTAGTTATTTAAATTAAAAATATAATTAGTAGAGTTAGATAAAATATTAAACAAATAATATAATATTATAACTTACTATCTGTAATAGTTATTTAAACAGAAAATTGAGTTATTTGAATATTGTGTAAAATAAATAAAATAAAAAAGTAAAGATTTAAATAACTGATAACTTACAAACTATAGTATTATCAGTACATGGAATATAAGTAAATAATAAGTAATTCCATTATTATTCAATTATAAGATAACTATTAACTTACGAGCTAAATTATTTATATAATACAGTTAGGTTAGAATATATTTATTCGTATATTATATAAGGTACAATTATAGATAGTATTTAAATTATTTACAAATAAAAATTTAATATTTTAGCTTGTTTGATATACCTTCGGATTCCATGATACTACTTCCTTCAAATTCTTTAGGATCTCTTTCTCCAAATTCTTTAATATTACTGATAACTAGTTTTATTATATTGCACAGTATTATAAAAATAATTTTTACCTTTATCATTACTGTGAGCCATTACTATATAATTAACCCTAACTGGAAAAGATAAAGTAAATATCTTTTTTTTTATATTTATAAACGCACTTACTAGTATATATGGTATTTGTGCATGCCAATTATCAAGCTTCATTGTTATACAGAAAACAGAGAAAATTTTCTTAATATTGTCACGGGATAATTTTTGTTTATTTTTCTTTATTTTTATCTTTCATTTTTTATTTGTTTATTTTTAGTATAGTTATTTTTAGATATTTAGATAACAAACGGAAGCTTAGCGGTAAAAAGGTGGCTGAATATAAGTGCCCAGATCGCCACAATTGGTCGGGAGGCAATTATGGCCGAATGGCGATTCTGTTCGAAAAGACAGGATTGTACCAAAAGTCTAACACTATAAAAGGGACCGTCGTTGATAGTTGTAAAAATTCAGTTTGAATTTGTTTAGAAAAGTTTAGCTAGGTTTTGTTATCAGCCGATAGTATACGGATATTACAGAGCGCCGATAGAGGCAGTAATATCGTATTTTGTTTCATTGTTAATAAACCGCTGATTTATTTCCGAATTGTTCATATACAGTTTATTTTATTTTTTTCACTGTTTATTATCATTTATTATTTTTGTTATATATCATTGATTTTTCGTATACATCGTATAATAAATTGCTTTTATACATACACCACCCGATCTATCTTTATATTATCTCATCATTTATTATCATTTATAATCGTTCAATATCGTTTACCGTCTGTACTTTTACCTTTTTATTAGTTATATATCGCCATATTACCTTGCCCTTTATTAACCGATCCTTATTTTTCTTTCTGTTACTACTGTAAGATCTAAGCCCGTATAACAATACGTTTGCCACCTTAGGACTTAACAAAATAATACTTTATTAATAATATAAATAAATACAATAATATGTTTGGTTTAACAATACTAAACAATAACTAAATATTTATCCAAATAAATTCCTAAATTCGTAACCTGAAATTCCACAATGTCGATATCTACGTCTATTTATATGAATTTAAAAATAGTATCTTAAAGAAACTTCCTGCGCCTTTTATCACTATGTTTTGCTGCAAACCTAAAAATTCTAACTCATCTATTGGTTTTGCTCAACTGAACTACAAGTATTAGTACTTGTTATTTTTCATATTTTTTGAAATTTTGAATTTTTCTTCGTTTTTGATCTTCAAGACCATTTCCTTAAATGCAAATATCCTATTCATAGATTCTTTCGTCATGATCTACAAATTAATCACCTGTTTCCTAATCACTTGACTTATCATTATTAATTAATCTTCTAGTTTTACGTCATCTCGGGCGTTATCACCTGATATCCTATATTTCCCTAGTTTAACGTCATCGCGGGCCAATTGATATACAATTTTAAATTACTAAAAATTTATACACTAATTCTAAATATAATGCTGCGCCTTACAATTAATAAATTCATTAGGTATACTACGGCATTACACTACAGAAGCCGGTGGTAACAATATATATATGATCAGATTATTTATAAAATATTTCATTTAGTTGAAAAAGTTGAACTAAATTTTAATTATCTCTCTATCAAAAATTTTATTATTGATAATGAACTAAGAATAAAGAAAAGAACTAAGTAGGACCCCGAAATATATATGTAGAGGTCAGGTCCAGAAGTGGTCCAAAATACGCATTCTTTCAGGGCCGGAATTACGATAATTTCAGCCATTATCTAAATTAGGAAATATTATTTTGGCTGGGATTATCCATAAAAGGAATGATCTACATGATTTTTTTGACTCATTATACGCAAACTCTGACCTGATCCTTTTATGTATATTTCGGGGTCCTAACTAAGTATTTGACTATATAGAATATTTTATTTAAACCCTTATAAAAGATGATGACTTAGTTTCTTTGAAAGAAATTTAGATTATTGATATTATAGCTCAAAATTATGATGATTTAAATATTGAAGTTCGTGAATTTATAAATGAAATGTATTAGCCATCAACATTTAATTTATGTTTTAAATATCATTGTTATATAAATAAACTCATACTTTTTCTTTCATGTTATTATTATATTACGATAAAATACAATTCAAAATGATGTTTAATGTATTAGCCAAATTATTTCATTTTTTTTAATGAGAAATAAAAAGAATATATCCATGCTGATAATTATTCCAAATTCTGATAAATTCTATCACTTCAATAAAATCATTTTTTGCCATTCATCCATTCTTAATTTATAATAAATTTGCATATTAAGAGCGAGGGGTTAAACTTGAACGCATCTAGTAAATAATAATAGTTTAAATGTCGTATGAATTTGTTCTTTAAAATTTATGGCCAGACCATATGGATCGATTTAAAAACTATCACGGAAATGATTGGGTGAACGATACTATCACGTGTAAATATCAGTATAATAAACAAATATGAAATTTCAAAAAATTACGTATTTTAACACCTAATTATTTATATCAAGCAAAATTGTGCTCACTATTTAAACATAGTATTTTTGCAAAAATAGGTTTAAAATTAGCCAAATTATTTATCTTTATAGGATAATATTCATTTTCCAAAAAAAAAAAAATATTTTTCATAACTTATGTTTAAAATTAGGTGAAATTATATTAAATAAAGCGTTAACTAAAGTGATTAAAAATATTATTAATAAGTTAAGAATGCAAAAAAAATTTTCTCAAATTTCAAATAATAAAATTTGTCTAACAATAAGAAACCTTTTATTATTACTTAAATTTCTACTACTTAGAAAAATCAAATATTCTAAAAACCCATGTGTCAAAAATGTGATATACACAAATTTTTTTTTTTAATAAGTGGGTATGATAATCATGTAGCTATCAGCTGTGGAATAATATGTCACGTTTTTTTCCATAAATCTTACAAATCCTTAATATTCTTTCCAAATGATCAACGCAAATTTTGTGCGACAATATATCGGAACTTATTCCGAAAATTAGTATAAATTTGGCATAATTTAAAAAAAGTTTTAAATTCCCCTTTTTCTTTTTACATTATGGCATGTACGAAAATATTTTCGGGAGATTTTCCTGAAATAATAAGTGATATTATACAATATTTTCAGTATGATTCTTCAACATTATATTCATGTATTCTAGTAAATAGATTATGGTGTCGTTCGGCAATTCCATTATTATGGGAAAATCCATTTTTACTGCAATACCCTAAAAATTATCGTTATATTGAAGTCTACTTATATAATTTAAATGATGATTATAAAACACAATTAAATGAATATGGAATTAATAATGATTTATTTCCTTCGAATACATTATTTAATTATCCTAGTTTTATTCAACATTTAGATACCCGTAGAATTGGTGATTCTATTGAAAAGTGGGTTGCAGCTGTTACAGTTAAAGAGCAATCTATTGTATCAGAAATTGTTGATCATGAATCTTTAAGATATACAAAAATGATTTATAAGTCATTATTTCGATTATTTATTGAAAACGAAGCAAATATACATACTTTTAAATTTACAATGCTTGTTGATAATGATTTAGAATATTTTAAAGAAATTTTTGAATTAATTTTACAAAATCAAAATCTACTTCGTAATATTAAAAATTTAACACTTTGTTTTGAACCAATAACCGAAAATATAACAAAATTTATGAAATATCTTTACTCTAATTGCAATTCTGTTTTATCACTTTATTTCCTCTTTCCATCATCTTGTAATTCAACTACTGAAAGACATTTTTCCCGTATGATTGATTCACAAAAAAATCTCAAAAAAGTTTACTTTAGTTATAATTGTAACTTTTCTTTATATCATTCATTATTATCATTAAAGAATCCAAATTGTATGAATACTTTGAGAACAATTATATTTTATTATATTAATTTCAAGAATATAGTTGTTTTGAATGAAGTATTTGAACAATTAAACTGTTTGGAATCTATTCATATTCTTTATTGTTTCTCTTTAGATTCAAATTTTACTCAACAAATTATTAGTATGACTAAACCATTCAAATTAAAGTCTTTAATTATGGATGAAGTATTAATTGAACCATTACAATTATTATTACAAAAATCTGGTGAATATTTAGAAAACTTTGGACTTGAACATGATGAATTTATACAACAAGTATCAGAATTAATAATAAAATATTGTAAAAATATTAATTTCTTGCAATTAGATGATCTTAATGACGATATTAATATGACACTTCATTTAATCGAAAATATTAATCATCATCTTAATTACCTCACCATTGAAAGTTATGAACTTAGTTCAATTATATTACAAAATTTAGGACAAGTTCTTCCTCCTAAATTAGAATATTTGAATTTGATTCTTACAATTAATAAAAGAGATTTTGAAATATTTATAAAAAATTTTCAAAATACTTATACCAAGAAGTTATTAATCAGCAATGTTAGAGATGAAACACGAGAAAAAGAAGAAGAAAAGAATATTTTACCTTATATAAAGGAATATATTATGAAAAAGAAAAGAGCCGAGTATTTTGCTTTTCAAGAATGTTTTACTCAAAGTTTTAACCATGATGACTTGTTTTCTATGGAAGATGAAGTAAAAGAATTTAAATTATATAATATTATAGTTCAAAATTATAATGATTTAAATATTGTAATTCATGAATTTATAAATGAAATGTACTAGTCATTATCTACATATATAATTTATTTTCTAAATATCATTTATATAAATAAAGTGAGATATATAAATATATAGCTATAGGATTTTTGGTCATTTGACTTTACTGTACATAATATACTTAAATTTTATAAATTTTGTCTTCATAAACATACCTACAACTAATAAAGTTATATTTTGATAAATATACAAACTGCCTTTTTGCATATAAGAATTTTAATTGGAATATTTCATAGTATATGTCTCTCTACTATAAAGTTATTATAATTCACTGCTTAATGGACTGGCTGAACTTAGTAAACAATTGGTGATTCATTTATGCTTTATTACAACTTAACTAAATCAAGTTATATAAAGAAAATATCATACCCTATAAAAAAATTCTGGAAAAAACTCCGATAAATGATCATTTTTCTAGTTTTTGTTCCGAAGAAACTCAGACACGTGATCATTTTACTGAAAAATTTTTTATAGGGATAAAGGAAGACCTATCAACTAAAGACAAATTTATTGTATACAATATTATCCAATTCCAGTTGATAATATACCAGATGGATTTGAAGTATTTTAACTTTAGATCTCAGTACAATATACTGTGAAACATTATATATACCAAAACTACAGTTGTTGCATTCCAAATCTTAAAGAATTTACCACTTTGACTTAACTTGACATTCTTGTCGCAAATATAACTAGAATTCTACAAAGTATAAAGTTTTGTTAAATAATTACTCCATTTTTAGAATTATTATTTTTCGGTGGTACATATTTTTGCCACCTATCAATCACGTGGTTCGAACTAAACTTTGATTGGTTTATCAGTGACTAGTGTTTTTGAGACGCGCTTCTCGGCGGTAGGTTTCTTATGTTTCTTTAGTGTTATATGCATTTCTTTTCGTTAACTGATTCTTCTTTTTTTAATAAGTTTTTTTAGGCAACATTTCTTTTTGTTAACTTGCGTTGATTGACTTGTTGGAGAGGTTTATTTTATTAAACTTCAACGAACTTTTTTGTATTTTATTCCTTAGTTAACTATTTCTTCTTCACTTTTTATTTTTCAAGCTTCTAGTTCGGCATTCTATCTACCTAGTGAACAGTGTGTTTCAGTATTCAGACACTTTGGATTTTTGGGATTTCATTTTCATTCAATAACAGTCCATTTTCTTTTGGTTGGTTTTATTTTCTATTTTCTTGTCGGGTTTTACCTTCTACTTTCTCTTGGTCGACTTTTACTTTCTTTTGATTCCTTCTACACTTGGGCATTTCTTCTATTTTTGGTTTTAATTATCTTTCTTTGGCTTTGATTTCATTTTTCCATCTGTTTTCTTTATTCATTTGGGTTAAAATTCGTTTTTTTTTTCCTTATTTTTGGAATTATATTTCATTTATTCACTTAGTAATTTTTTTATTCTTTGAGCTTTAATTCATTTTTTGGATCTGTTTTCTTTTGACATTTTGTTTATTTTGTTCGGATTTTGTGATGTTTTGATTTTGTTTCGCTCATTTGGTTGATATTAATTGTTGTCATTGATTAAATAATATTGCTCTTATCAATTTTAATTTCGTCTCCTATAAATGCTATTCCATAATGACAGCTTCACTTATTGTATAAACAAGGCTGTAAGATCATGTTATAGTCGTACAGCCGTTCGAGCTTTAATAATATGAAATACCATAAAATTTAAAAAATTAGTTATAATTATACTCATTTAAGGTTTTGCTTTTACGTTGCAATAGGAATACATGAAATAAAATATATCACGTAACGCATAATATCTAGCCAATCAAATGTTATTTTCAAAATCACGTAATAGGGGTGGCCTCGGATAATTCCTATTATTTTATCTATAAATTATTTGAGCTTAGTTCAAAATTATAATGATTTAAATCATGAATTTATAAAATGAAATGTACTGGTCATTATCTTTATATAATAAATACACATATATATATAATTTATTTTCTAAATATCATTTATTTATTTATAAATTAAAGTGAGGTATCCAGGATATAGTAAACATTTTCTCACAATTATGGTATTAGTATTTTTAATTATTTTCTACTCAACAAAAATACAATTTAAATGATGCTAATTTATCATCAATATCCACATTACTATACCAAAATTTGATAAATTTTATCTTAAATATGCATCAATAAAATCATAAAAAACCTTTTTTTTTTTTGCAACTTGTCCATTTTTAATTTTTATAAGGAAATTTGTAAATTAAGTGGAGGGGTTGGCACATAACAAAGTGATAAAACTCTAAATGTAAATAATTTAAATGTCACGTGTATTTGTTTTTTAAAATTTATGATGATCATAACCTCGGGCGATACGACGATACGTCGTAATTCTTTTCATAACTTCGGACAAATATAATCACGTACTAACGGTCATTTTTTATTAGCTGCAGCACAACATTTACACCATAATTACATAATCAAATAACGCTTTGGGTTTTTTTCACAGGTAGTAAGTAAAGTAGTACTACAGTAAGTTGATGTAAGTTCGGACGTACGCCCTTATATTTTAATAGTACGTACGTTTACAAAATCCAATAAAAATTATACTAGTACGTACGAAAGTTTAGAATATTTCGTGCAACTTTAAATTTTGTATAATTTTGAATTTCGTACCACAACATCGTCCTCAAGGTAATCAGCCTGCTCAACTTGAATTGTCAATTATTCATTAGTCGAATTGGCAGAAGTTATTTCTTCCATGAGGAAAGACTTTATAAAAACAACAGAGGAAGCCGAAGCAAAAATCCAAACTGAAAACTCAACTCTGGCCACTTCCTAGAGTAATTAAATATTATAACTTGTTAGTTGTGCTGAGATTATTTAAGAGAGAAGAAAACCAAAGAATGAAAAAAATATATTACCAAATCCTCCAATCTAGCGCAACTCCAAGAAAATATTAAACTTTTCCGCCAAGAACAGTAAGGACATTAACAAGAAAGTGAATAATACTTTAATTTATTTTTGTAATTAGCATTCAAACAAAAGCCAGGGATAAGCGATCTGGAAAATAATTTTTTCGGTTAAAAAAAAAGAAAAAAAGTCTATGGAGTCCATAGTATATTATTTGATCACATGATGTTCGATGTAAATTTACTAGTATGGAAAATAAAATTTATTTTTAAAGGTACGAAAAAATTATTTTTTTTTGAGCGTCCGTACTAATTTGTATTACCGTACTGTATTAATTTACTATACACACTTTTTTTTTACTATGACTAGGGTGGAAGATCGTGATATATTTGTCCTAACGTTATTCGTTGATTTTATAACAGGTAAATGCATGTCGTGAGGTACATTAAAAGGATCAACGTAAATTTTGTACGACAATATAATCGGAATAAGCTCCGAAAAAAAAAATATAAATAACCACTTTCGGCATAATTTTTTTTAAAAAAAAAATTGAAACTCCCCATTTTCTTTTTCGCTTACACTATGGCATATACGAAAATATTTTTAGGAGATTTACCAGAAATAATAAATGAAATTATACAATATTTTCAGAATGATTTTTCAACATTACATTCATGTATTTTAGTTAATAGAATATGGTGTCGTTTGGCAATTCCATTATTATGGGAAAATCCATTTTCTTTAAGATATCCTAAAAATTATCGTTATATCGAAGTTTATTTACATAATTTAAATGATTATGATAGATCACAATTAAATGAATATGGAATTAGTAATGATTCATTTCTTTCAAATACATTATTTAATTATCCTAGTTTTACTCAACATTTAGATACTCGTAAAATTAGTGATTCTATTGAAAAGTGGGTTGCAACTGTCAGAATTTCAACAGTTAAAGAGCAATTTTCCAACATTTTTGTACGAGAAAACGTTGATCAAAAATCTTTAAAATATACAAAAATGATTTATAGGTCATTATTTCGATTATTTATTGAAAAAGAAGCAGATATAAATACCCTTGAAGTTACGATGCTTATTGATAATGATTTAGAATATTTTAATGATACTTTTGAATTAATTTTACAAAATCCAAATTTTATTCGTAATATTAGAAATTTAACACTCGATTTTGATCCAGCAAATGATAATATAACAAAATTTATGATATTTCTTTATTCTAATTGCAATTCTATTTCATCACTTTATTTTTTATTTCCTTGGTATTATTACACAACAACCGAAAAACATTTATCACAAATTATTGATTCACAACAAAATTTAAAAAAAATTTCGTTATGTTTTAATGATCTTCCTTTATATCATTCATTATTATCTTTAAAGAACCCTAATTGTATAAATAGTTTAAGGACAATTATATTTTATCATGTTAGTTTTAAAGATATAGTTGTTTTAAATGAAGTACTTGATCAATTAAATGTTTTGGAATCTATTCATATTCTTTATTGTTATTCTCTAGATTCTAGTAATTTTATTCAACAAATTTCTAATTTGACAAAACCATTTAAATTGAAATCTTTATTTATGAATGAACCATTAATTAAACCATTAGAATTATTATTACAAAAATCTGGTGATTATTTGGAAAATTTTGGACTTGAAGATGAATTATTACAAGAAATATTGGAATTATCCATAAAATATTGTAATTCAAAAATCAAATTTTTAAAATTCTCTGGATTTGATAATCAAATTATTTATAAAATATTCAATTTGATTAAACAAGTTGAATTAAGTCTTAATTATCTCGCTATCGAAAGTCATTATGATGATAAACTTGGATCAATTGTATTAAAAAATTTAGGACAAATTCTCCCTACTAAATTAGAATATTTAAGTTTATCTCTTGAAATCAATACAAATGATTTTGAAATTTTTTTGAAAAATTCACAAGATATTTTTATTAAGAAATTATTAATTAAAAATATTAGAAATGGGAAACGAGAAGAATCAGAAAAAAAGAATATTTTACCTTATATAAAGGAATATATAATGAAAAAGAAAAGAATCAAATATTTTGCTTTTTTAGAATATTTTTTTATTCAAACTCCTATTGAAAATGATGATTTGTTTTCTTTGAAAGATGAAGTAAAGGAATTTAGATTACATAACATTATAGTTCAAAATTATTATGATTTAAATATTGAAGTACGTGAATTTATAAATGAAATGTATTAGTAATTTTATATGTATAATCTATTTTATAAATAAAGAATTTCTTATTCTTCAAATTGGGTGTGAGATAACGCGATATCTTTTGGAGATTGTCAAGTGTGGGATAATCGTACTTTACAGTATCACTATACTAATAAAGAAATAATTTGACGCGAGAACTCATCTAGGAACTAGGATCCTCTTTGATGAAAGTGTGTAACATTTCTCTCATAACTCGTATGGTAATGACGTTTATCTATAGTATTACTAATAAGCATAAAAAAAATAGGTGCGAATTTATACGAATTATTTGCTACAATGTCTCGTTAATCAGACGTGTTATTAGTTTGACTTTGTGTTCAATTTTTCTCCACACAATTTTTTTCAAAATGTTCTCGCTGTTCCATCATATTATCAGGCTTTCTCGACCAACAGTCCTTTCCTCTCCTAGGTTACTTTTCTCAGGAAATAAGTGAACTAAGAGAACTAAGATTAACTAAGGCTGCTTCAGCATTAGATTTCGACGAAAAAGATGTTAAACTATTGAATGTGAACTTCAAACTAGCTACTTTCAAAGAGTTTCATCGATAAATGCGTGACGTGTGGAGAATGAAAAGGTAGCGACAGGCACAAAGAATCAAAGACTTTCACATTCATTCAGTCCGCTATGCAGAATAGTCATTAAAGCAAAGCCTCGCGTTTCAGCAGATCTCGAATTTGTGGTTACTAATCGGAAATTAAATACAATGTCTACAGAGGTCTGAACATTTAATGTTTGCGATTGTTTTCCAAATCTATTCAGGAAAACGTTTTGAGGAACACAAATTGCCGCGCAGATTATGCCACTAGAAAGAGGAGACGATATTTGCTATGCGCGTCATCTCAACATATGTGACATTTTGCAAGGCAGTGATCCCTGCAGAATATTGTGACGAATTAGATGTAGTTATCGAAAACGGAGATTATTGCTAAAAGACGGCCAAAGAATGGTAAGCGAAAGGCTTATATTTACTAATAGAACCAAACCAAATGGGAGACGAACGGTGCTAGAAGCATTAGCTAACATTCGTCAATTTCTTCTGCGTTATACGCACATATTGAATGTTTAAATGATGTAAATCATGTCAAATGATTTAAAGAAATTTTAGAAACGGGTGATGATAACGCATTGTCGCATTGGATACTTCAATGCCAAATGCGGTGACGAATGATAATATCACTTCAAGGCTAACGTAATATATGACTAGAGTTTATTCATTCCCCGCTGATTCTATCTCAAAATTTACACAAGATTAATACTTATAAACCATCTATTATGTATTATATACATTATGTCAATATAAAATTTTTTTTTCGTACATTATAAACATATATAAAATGATATTTGTCTTTATAAGTTACAAATATATAAAGTTTGATTTTTTTGTGTAATGTGGCAGAATTGTGCTTGTATACCCGATCCAGACTTTTTATTGTATACGAGGACACTACGGACACTACGCGGTACTATATTCCGCTCCGCTGAGACGATCACAATGGGGCTGTGCGACATGAGATTGAAATTTCGCAAACTATTATAGAACCTAAATGATTTATTTTAGGCGAACGTCCCGTCACAAATAAAATCCACTTTGTGATTGAGATCTCGTCAATCTCGTCTTTATTATAGTCTACATTTTCTACCTGTAGTATAGCAAATACATAATAGCATTTGTTCCTATTAATTCTATATATTACATGTATTATTTGGGTTTAGCCTGGTTATAATTTTGATATATTTTCGTTGGCTGTCACTATAAGACGCAAATTTATGTCGCTAGAAATTATACATCGACTCGAAATTTTATCGTTATAAATAATGAACCAATTAAATTCTTTTAAAGTTCTTCATTATACAGTAGTATTCTCACACGAATTTAAGGTGAAAACTGGAGGATTCGTTATATCGAAAGCTAATTTTACTAGATTAAGTCCCTTCAAAAGAAAGATTTTTGCGTTCACTCGTAAAATAACCGCAAATTGTGATATATATTTCTCATAAGCAAAAATATATATAATTAAATCATCCGAATTATATCAAAATAATCTTGATCTATGAAAACTGGGATTTTCGGTAAAAATATATTGCTAAGCCTTACACACATAATTACATAATTTTATCGAAGGCTTGGTTAAATTATATATATATTTTTATTTTAAATCACGGAACATTATAAAAGCCACAACAAATTTCCGTAAATGGTTTATTATAGATTTATATCAAGCCACAAATGGTAATAATAATAAATAAAAAACAAGATTAATAAGATTGAATTGGTATTAAATTACCTTTTTTCTCTTCTTTATTATGATTATTATTATTATTATTATTTTTTAAGAAAAAAAAAAGGAAAAATAATAAATAATAAATAATGAGATATTTTAAATTTTTAATTTGTTTTTTAATTTTAAATTCATTTTTATTGGTAGTCTCTCATCATCATAAAGATGATGTGAATGACGAAAATGAAAACGAAAACGATCCATCTACAAATCCGTAAGCAAAATTAAGATGAATATATATATATTTTTGTTTTGTAAAAATTAATTTTTCCTACTAAAAAAATTTGATATTTTATTTTATTTTGTTATATTATATTTTTTTTAAAAAAAAAAAAAAAAAATTCAAGAGGTGGAACCGGATCACCATCTCCTACTGGAGGTTCCGATCATACCTTTTTACCTAAAAACAATACTCCTACGTAAGTACCTCCTTTATATTCTCTTCTCTTTCTTTATTTTGATTTATCCAAATATATATTTTTGTTTTACAAGGGGTTCAACAAATAATCCAACAAATGACCAAAGCGGCAAAAATCCAACAAATAGTCAAAATGGCAAAAATCCAACAAATGATCAAGGTGGCAAAAATCCAACAAATGATCAAGGTGGTAACAATCCAACAAATAGTCAAAGTGGCAAAACTCCAATAAATAGTCAAGGTGGCAAAAATCCAACAAATGATCAAGGTGGCAAAAATCCAACAAATGATCAAGGTGGTAACAATCCAACAAATAGTCAAGGTGGCAAAAATCCAACAAACGATCAAGGTGGTAACAATCCAACAAATAGTCAAAGTGGCAAAACTCCAACAAATACTCTCAGTGATAACAATCCAAAAGAAGCTCTATTTGATAATAATTCAACGAATTCTCAAGATAATAATCCAAAAGAAGTTATAAATAATAATAATCCGCAAAATAATAATGATAGTATAGTTACTTTCACATCTTCAAATATTAATACTCCTTCTGGAACGTCTTCAACCACCAATTCTCTTGCAGATAATATTACACCCAAATCATTACCAACACCAATTTCCATGAGTTCCGGTATAACTTTATACATTGGACATATATATATTTATAAAATGATTGGTGTAACTTTATTTATTATGTTTGTTAGTGGAATAGTTATGATATATCATTAAATTTATAGGAATTAAACTAGAGGGTTATTATATTTATTTGTATTTTTTAACTAATTTAAAAAATTTAAAATCGTGTAAATTCTTTTAATGACTCGTCAATTCAACTGATGTAAAATCAGAACCTTTTGCGTTAATGATTCGATTCGCAAGTTCTTTTTAAAATTTTGTAACTATTTTTTAATCTCTGTTTCTTATTCTCAATAACATGTTTACAGATACAACATAAAGAACTTGACCAGTATTGTATCCCAATACAATCTTAATTATAATATAATATATACGATCATGTAGGATTGTAGGAATTAGCAACATTTAAACATGTGTACTTGTATAACGAATATTTCATAAAAATGACGAACGCATTACTATGACACCTGGAATAAAATTTCTCCGGGATAGGTTATTGATATCTTTTTACTTATTCTCTCGCTAAAAAATTTTCCGGGGAAAATTCCGATAAATAATCATTTTTCTAGCAAAAAAACTCCGATGTGATCAATTTTCTAAAAAATTTTTTTTATAGGCCCTAACTTAGGAAATACTTGTGAGTTATTATTTATATTGTAAAAAAGTCTTTGCAAAAAGAAAATATGTCGAACATACTACGAAAGACACATTGCGATAGAGATTATCTTCGTTTCAGTAGTGTTACGTTAATCGGAGATTCTTTAAAGACAGAATAAGTGACATTTAAAACCAGTGTACCATTCGTAATATCCGTAAATTTATTTTAACGTATTTTACTTGGTTTAAAATACAACACCTGTTCAAATGAATCGCCATAAGAAAATATCTCTCCCGGCCATTGCTTGCGATAACTGATGCAGACATATTTTTTATTCACGCACAAATCAGTATGTATTATTTGCTATTGCATTTATTGTGTTTGTCTTTTATTAATTTTAAAGAACTGTTACAAAGCATTCCACAAAGGATGATGATATCTTTGACATGGCACAAAATTTTCGAGAAAGGATAATACATAGTAACATTTTTTTGTTTTCGAACAGTTTGAGCATTAGTTGACAAATAAGGGCAAGCAATGAGAGAGCGAGTTACTATTTCAGTAGCAATGGTGCTACTACATCACCATAGTGTCGAGACTTTCAAGTGGGTGCATTTATCGACAAACTATCATATGTTCATATTAACTACGGAAAACGGATTTATTTTTATATCAATGTACTTTGAATACTTCCAGAACTTGAAGGTTTAAGAACCACGTAAATTGTTTCTTCGGTGGCTGGCAAGAACGGGACTGATGTTCTATAATCCTCTATGTCCGTTTTTACTATCTTATACGGTCAAATTTTTTTTCTCATCTATTTGAAAAAATGGGATTAATATAAAAAAGATGACCGGAGTAGAAAAAACTGTTTACTGATCTTTACGAGGAGTTGTCCACAAAGTTGATAGTGCAAGACAATAATACCCGCGGCTATAGAGTGTATGATTTCCGTGAAGAATTTTGGGAGCATAATGGAACTGTACTTGAATATCCCTACTGGAAAAAAACTCCAATAAATGATCATTTTTCTAAGAAACTCAGACACGTGATCATTTTTCTGAAAAATATTTTATGGGGTATTTGCTCCAGTCATCAAAAATACAAGTAGATTTAGTAGATTTTTCGTCACGGTCCAAGATTCCAAGGAATGTGATCGTTGAAGAGTTCCACGCTAGTTTCAGTGACCGAAGAGATACACCTAAGAGTCTCAAGGATCATGGAAGAATGTGGACGCAATACTCTTGACATTTGGTCTTACAGTTACCATATACAATCTGTCTCCTTTTACGTAGCCGACTATAGTGAAACAAAAATTTTTGCACATAAAGTTCAATTACGCCTGCCTAGAGAGATTGGTTTCTCAATCCTACTCAATGTATCCGAATCATAGGTACACTAATTATAAGCAGTCCCTTCACAAGAAAATATCTCCTCTTAGTCAGTCCTTAGGCACGGCAGTTGATGTCCATAGAAACGACTTGTTCGTTAACAGATTTCCGGTTACAGAACACGATGACAATTCTTTAGCAGAAGCAAACGAGGACACGAAAATAGATTGTGTTCCATCTAATACATCTCTTCATGGTCCCCTCAGATTCACAGTACTACGGACATTAAGAGTGCTAGCTGTATATTCAACCTGAAACTGTTAGCTACAGCAACAAAACAACTAATACATGTCACGATACAAATATTGGTCAACAGATAGTCCATGAGAAACAGTCGGCCATTTGGGGATCATCATCACTTCGCAGAAATGAACAATTTGTCACATAACACAGGTAATCACTCCAACTAGTTTTTCGAAAGAAAATCCTTTGCAGGGAGAAAAAATTCTTTCCTCTAATAATCAGGATCTTTCTGTTATATCTACTTCTTCATCCTCTTTCACAGGAGATACCTCTTCGGGTGGTGGGGAGATGGTTAAAAAATTTCACAATAGATGAAAAGTGACTGCATTAGGCGCAAATTATGTTTTCACGAAACTTTAATCCAGACAAGTCCAGGATATCCGTAACGGCGTAACCAAAGAAAATTAACTAGTTGGAGAAAGAGAATGGACATTCTAAACTCAAAAGTAACTGTTGCTCAATATTATTTGAGCATCTCATCCACGAATACTGGAATATGCAATAGTTTTAAAACGTCGCACCCTCAGTAATATATCCCACTTAGATGATCAATTGGTCATATGATTCGTGATCGAAATTAAGTGCCATGCTTCATTGAGTGATTCCTAGAAGCATTCTGAAAGATTATTAATCGACTGTTGATAACAAGAGTGTTGTTTGGTAATATGGGTAATATGTTCGAACTAAAATAGGGGAGAATAGATCACTTTATTTTTTACGATTCAATTCGTTAATTTGATTTATGTAATAATACGCACATATGGAACAAAGTAATTAGGGATTTAGTTATCTTGGATACTCAATTTGCTACCCTATCCCTCACTTCTCTTAAATGCTTCTAAAAATAATAAATTATCGTTGAAAGAACTACTGTATCTCATGATCCACATGCTGTATGACTGAAATTCTTGGCGACCGTGAACTTCGCTAAGGAATGAGCACCCGTTTTCATTATACTTCAGTTTAAGTGAGGTGTATAAATATTTTACAGGTAAAGTTATGTGGTCATAATACCTATCTTACAGTACGATTCTTATTCCTTACTCACATTTAGTTCGTCCATATATAATCAATCAGAGACCTCATAATTTCTGTTAGATTTGCAAAAGGATGATATACACCTTAAATTCCAAGAGACGCCACGATATATGAATCCTCGCGTGAATATACTAAAAAATCAAGTGGAATTAATTTAGTGATGTGAAGTATTGATGTATTGTATTTGGCGGATGACTAACAATTTGTCCTGATCAATTGATATCATGTGAACTTTGATCAGATTCACATCATTAAAAAATTGGGCTTTTAAAGTTTGGATATGATTAATCATTCTGGCGTAATTTAATCAATGAAGTTTCTTTTGTATATATATATCTATTTTTGCAAAAAAAAATAAAAAAATCTTATTTCTTAACTCTCCTTTAATGTCTATTGCTTTAAATCTAAACTCTTTGTTTACAGAAACCGTTACCTATAATTTCGTCGATACAGGATCTGTTACTGATACAGGATCCGTTACTGAACTTGATACAGGAGCCGTTACTACTGGGGAGACTATAACAGGTAATTCATTTTCAGCTGAAAAATTTAAAATTTCATGTGGATGAAACAGAAGTTTCTAACACAATATATCGCATCTAGAAGGGATCACTGAGCTCGTGGACCAAGCACAAAAGTTTGGTTTTAGTCGTGAGAAGTTTCTCAACTGGATGTCATCCATCTCAAATGAATTTTTATTGACGCAGACAATTGAATACTGGCTTCTTGCTTACGCATCCGAAACAGTAACAGACTCTTGGAATGAAGACTACTCGCCAGATGCTTGGTTAATGGAATCCTTTTCTCTAAAAAGTGCCAATTTCATTGTTAACGGAGTATCTGAAGAATATCTAAAAGCACAAACACCCAATTACTGGATTAATTGGGCAATATACCAATTCACTAATCAAGCTTCAAATGAGTTTATCTCTTTTGTTGAAAATGCAAGTGAGAATAGAGTTGATGTTTTTAAAAACACGCCAATAATTGTTACTATATCCGTTAGTAATACTAGTGACAAAGGCAATGAACTTAATCTCCTCCTTGAAACAGATCTTAATCAATTTAATGATAAAAGCACCTGGTATTACCATACCACGGACTTGATTAGTACCGAAAGTATTTTTACTGATGGCATCAGCTTGGTAGTAGGTCAGATAAAACAAGATTTTGGTGGTCGAACGACATCATTTTATCTCAATGATGAATTTAAGTCGGTAATTGATTTTGGAATACAAAAATTTATTGGCTCACCATGTGCGATAATTATTTACGATATTCCAAAATCTTTATTAAAAGATTATCAACACCTTGATCTTAGTAGTGGCAATAAAAGGTGGAAGGATGTAGTGCGTAAATCTCGTAACTTTTGTAAATGTGAGGCTGATGTGTACGATTTTATATATGACCCTCAAGCCACCAATTATATTCGAATGATTAGGAATAAATATGAGACACCCAAGGCAGACATCAATAAGAATCAGTTAGCACTCAAATCAAGTAGATTAACTAGTGCAGTTGATTTACGCATAGTAGGAATCATCATTTATAAAAAGAATAAAATCTAGTTGGTTATAATAGCAAATATAATAAACAAAATGTAATGAAAATAGACGAAAGAGATTATAAATATATCATTTAATAGTACGAAAAGTTGTAGCATTAATATAGTAAAACATTTAGAATATAAAATAGTAAATACTTTTAAAATGTAACAAATGTAGATAAATGCAATTTGCAATAAAAAAAACATAAATTCTTAATATATTTTAATGTTTTCAACATACACTTTCCCGAAAGTTCTGGTATGTCTTATTTCACTAATCACAGTTTTGAATTACTAATAAAAAAACATATTCCTGATCTCACGGATCGTAAGACAGGGCACAGGGCGTCATTAAAAAGAATCAAAAATGGAAATTGAGCGATTAGAACCTATGATTTACAGATCTGGTAAATTTTTATTATCCTACTGACGTTAGCACATTCAAATTATATGGCAAGCCGTTCAAGTCAAAAGTCCGCTGCTATTGCGGCAGGTACCTGCTAGATTTGTGGCAGGTATCTGCTGGATTCACGGCAGGTACCTGCTAGAATTGCAGCAGATACCTGCTAGAATTGCGGCAGATACCTGATAGATTTGCGGCAGGTACCTGCTAGATTTGCGGCAGGTACCTGCTAGATTTGCGGCAGGTACCTGCTAGATTTGCGGCAGGTACCTGCTGAACTTGCAGCAGGTACCTGACAGGTTACAAATATGGTATTTTATTTTTTCTGGGTCAAAAAAATTTTTTTGATTTCCATTTATAGTAATCTACCGAATTATTGGATCCAAGTTAGTTTATTTCTTTTTTCAGAAGTGATTTTCATCTCATAATTCTGCCCATTACTATAAATTTGGCTAGAATTAATCGTATAATCAATACTAAAATCTTTAATAGTTTTAATTTATATTGTAAATTCAAAGTATTTTTTAAAATAAGGTTTAATGTAAAAAATAACTTGAAACTCAACTTTTAAGTATAAAAAAATTATAAATGAAAGAATTAATACTAATAAATTATTATAAAATTTTTAAATTCAAATGAGCAATATAAAAATCAATTTAAATAATTTTAAAATTTACAATTTGATTAAATGATTAGTATAACAAAATACACTACCAGAATATTATTATTTATATACCCAATTTAACTATATTGGTTTAAATTTATTGATGCCACTATCATTAATATTATTCTTTTAAAACCAATATCACAAAAACTTTCTTATATGTGGATTATGGCTGGAAATCTCTGATCATTTAGAAAAAAAATTTTAAATTATGAAATCTTTGCAAAACCATTAAAAGAACTAATGAACAAAAATTTACATATAGGGAATATTTTTTTTTTTAAAAAAAAGCAACTTCAGTAAATTTAACTTTATTGATAGCTCATTATATGTATATTTTTTTTATAGAAATGTCTGTTGATTTGCTAAAAATCATAAATAAACTATTTATTTTTATTTTGAATTTGGGCAGAAAATCTAAAACAATTATGAGCAGATGTGTGAATATGACAAAGACTCATTTTATGTCAATCCCATTGTCATAACTCTTATAAATTCAACTAATAATGATATATAAAGCAAAACTTCAATAAAAATAATAGTATATAAAAAATAAATAATATAAATTTTATAGTTTGATTTTTAAGCTTATTGTAAAATGTATTCTGCAGTAATCTTTTTCAATTAAACGATCTTTTCAAAAATTTATTTATAATTAATCAAATATAGATTCCTTATATATCATTAATTTTAGCAAAATTTAAAGTAATGGGCCGAATTATGAGATGAAGATCACTTCTGAAAAAAGAAATAAACTAACTTGGATCCAATAATTCGGTAGATTACTATAAATGGAAATTAAAAAAATCTTTTTGACCCAGAAAAAATAAAATACCATATTTGTAACCTGTCAGGTACCTGCCGCAAGTTCAGCAGGTACCTGCCGCTAATTCAGCAGGTACCTGCCGCAAATCTAGCAGGTATCTGCCGCAATTCTAGCAGGTATCTGCCGTGAATCCAGCAGATACCTGCTGCAAATCTAGCAGGTACCTGCCGCGAAAGCAACAGGTACCTGCTGCAATAGCGGCGGACTTTTGACTTGAACGGCTTGCCATAAAATTACGTGTATAGGTTAATCACACATTAATCCGTTTTTTGAATAGGAATTAGCAGTACGTAATCCAGCATGGGTGATTTATCATCTACTATTTTTACAGATCTCGAATATTCTTTATTGCATATCAGCCAATCTAGATAATAAACGGTAGATATACCATTACTCCGTTAGTATAAGTTTACAACATATCAGTTTAGCATGTTCATCGAATTTTACTTTTAGCGCAATTTTTTCACTTGAAAAGAAGGGGTCATATCAAATAAGCAGTATATTTTATTAGATAAGCTGTGCATGTTGGCAAATCGTGGGGTACAAGGGGTGTAAAATTTACGCCAAAGCTCCCGATAATTTTATTCCTAGAATGGCTACCTTAAAAAAAGCAGATCCAGATCCGCATAAACCAGAAGTTGCGTTGGTTGATATAGTCTTGGAACATTTTGGGCTGAATTATGTTCTTCGATCATTCGGCTGAAGTTGTACTTGTATTGAGGATAAAATTTCAGTTAACGCTTCAGAATTTAAACATATAGCTTCTTCTGAGGGATATGGCAATGCTCAGTCTGAAGATTCTAAAGATCTTGTTCACGTTAAATATTTTAAAGTTAATCCAAAATCACCAGTCAAAATTCGAAGGAATTGACCAGAGTGTTGACATTGAATTGTCTACAATCATGTTATTATCTCTCATGAAAGTATTTTGACATTATATAGTTTTATATTGGACACTTTCACGTCACCTTCAACATCAACTCCTACAGCAACACCACAAGCCATTGATGTATAACCTGGTACAGAATCAGAAGAAGTCCGAACACCACACTATTAGAGTATAAGGTTTATATTAAATAAGCGTTAGACTTGCCAATCACTTGCGGATGATGCTGTTCATTTAAGATAAAATACTATTCATGTGGGAGCTCGATTAGTCAATTTCTCGCTTTCAGATGATATGGCTGTATAATGTTGAACATTAATAAAAATTGATTGATTATACATGAGTAATTGAGTAACCAATTATATATCACGTTTGGTCTTATAGTATTCTCTATAAGAATCAGCTGAATGAATCAGTCGACACTTATAAAACAAATATATATATTATAGTTGTAAGAACAGCCAAAAATAGGATATATGCGAGGCATAGCAATCCAACACTACACATCGCGCCATGGTTAAAAAAAAAATCATCTAATTCTTTATATAATAACAATATTGAATTGTTTTATTTTGCCATTGAAAAATAAAAATAGAAGCATATTATTTTGATTTTTGAAGATTAATACTATATATGAAAATTAATAAAAGTTATTGTTTTTGAAGTCAACTAAATGTAGAAAATATATATTCAATATATAACATAAAAAAAAAGACTACCCATGATAAATTTTTGATTAGTACTGATTTATATTTATTTAGATTGGAGATAAGAATGCCGAAAGCCTGTGCAATATGTTTAGTAACAAAAATGATAAGCGTGACTATTTATTAATAATTTATTTACTACAGTATGATAAAAAAAAAAAGTACTATGAAAGCTATCAAAAAAAATTTTATTACCATAAAATAATATCACAAATAAATAAATAAAGAAAATTGTCATTTATCGCTATAGCGACATATCGCCAGACGCCAGTCTACACAGATCATGTGATTTATTGATTAATCATATGATTTATAGTAAGCAGCAAAGATGGTGATTTTTCAGTGTATTAAAGATAGGAATGACTACAAGGTTTAAATATTACTTGATTGTAAATTTTTTTTAATTTTACTATTTAGCATCAATATGAAGTTTCAAATTATCCATTTATTTATAATTATTTATAATTCTAAATAATATTCTCAACCTAAATATATTTAATGCTGCTTCGAATTGGCCAGATGATTGCACTCTTACGTTAATTAGGTAAATTTATGTATTAATCTTTCAATGGAATTATCTAAAAAAAATTGGAAAAAATGGTAACTATTTATACTAATTAGATATAGGACTATAGGAGGCAATGCCATAATTACTTTGAGGGTCACTCTATTCGTGATCATACAGTTATTTTGACGAGGATAACGAATAGAATTAACAATTCGTTATTACTTTATCGTTACACCAACCCAGTGCCGTAAATAAAGGTTAGAGTTTGTATTAGAAGACCCAATGATCCTGGCTTGTTTGTACAGTATATGATTTTTATGTCAACGTGAATAATAAAAAGTATGAGTGCGTGGTGGATACAGGCGAGTGCTTGCCAAGAATCCTTTTCAATTACTTAGTTGCTTAATTTAAATTATAGCAAAAATATGTGTACTTGTCTATTTTATCTACTTATATTTACAAATAGGAGAAACAAAAAATAATGGATTTTATTTATCTAAAATTTTTACTCTGGGATGATAAACCGGATTCCCGGTGAGCAAGTCCTTATAGATAATGATGTTACTGATCAACTAGTATATGCACACGAGCCAAAGAAACCATTAAAATTTTAAATGCAATATACTACTATAATGAAAATATATTATATCAAAAGAAAATGTTTTTAGTTTAACAAGGAAAAAAAAAAAATTTCAAAAATCAAAATAATGCAAATATATGCAATAAAAGATTGCACACAATCTGGATTTTATTTTAATTTGTGTGTGTAAAATTTTCAATAAATACACTAACACTTATTTTGTACTAAAAAAAAAATTGTTATTTAAATATCGTGTTCAAGAACTAATTATAGCTAAATCTCTTTAATCTAGCCTCTATCATTGCTTGAATATTGATCTTTGCTCTTCCAATGTTTTTCAAATCTCTTCTGCTTTTTCAGCTTAATAGCCCACATTTTCTAGATTCAAATCGATCACGCAACTCTTGAATAATAATTTCAGAAACATCAACTATAATACTACTATCTACCTTACAACACGAAATTTAACCCATTAATTCTATTTTCATCGCAAATTAAAACAACATTTTTGATCCATTGAGTAAGACATCACTAGTCACTACATTCCAAGAATTAATGCATCATTTCACGTCAAGTACGTTTAAAGACTTATTAGAACCAATTTTTGAAATATTATAAGATAGAATGTATGGGATGGAAGTTATGACTACAAGGTTCAGGGTGAATCATTTCATCTACCAGAATTTCTGAGGAAAGCATGTTATCAGAGGAAATAAGCGAATGCATACAACCAGATGTTATGTAGTCTCGTGAACCACAATAATAGAGGGACCTGTGACATTTTCAAAATTCATTCTTTTTTGCTATAATCCAATAAAATCGATCAAACATTCTTATAAACGCCTGCGTATTATGAATAATTGACTTGCTGCAACTGCAAGTTCCTTCTTTCCTAATTAACGTTTCCAAAAAGCTTTTATGCAAATATTCATCGCTTGAAAGAATATGACTCGAAATATTTCGACCAATAATGGAAATCACAACCAAAGATAAAACCCGAATTTGAGAATTATGTAGAGCAAACAATAAATTGTCGACATAACGTCGGACTATATTTGATTAAGGTAGGTCTAGAGATCTTGAGATTCCAGACCACACAAAAGTCCTTTTAAGTAGAGTTGAGAGATTTCTGTGAGAGTAATGTCATGCGGACCACATCAAAGTCTCCTTCATATTCAACCTTTCTTTTCTCTATATTGAAGTCAATGGTTGTCTAGAAGACGATAAGGTTTCTTTTTCCTTTATTCCGCAGTTTGGCGTTTTTGCATGATACTTTCGGCAAAGACTAAGGTAGAATTGCGTATGAATCACATGTTTCATTCCACGGAAAGTTTTTTAAAAATTAACGCCCAACGAAGTGTACTTTCTATGAGATTGCGAGTGCATTCATCATCTTAAAGGCTGGCAATTCGTTATAAAAATAAAAACCACGAACTGTTTCATGGTAGCTCAATAGAGGGTTCGGGAAAAAGAGATTAATTAATTTATTACCCTCGCCCAAGATCTGCTTAGAAATAATAAAAGCAATATTTGGTGTTCAAGCGTACTAAAGCGGAACTAACAGGAATAAATTGATGGTGCTCAACCGGGGCTGAGAAAGATTCTGTGTTGCTGATGAAAGTGAAATAGAACTTGACAAGACCTTAATTGTTTGCTAACAATATTCTCATCTCTAAATATTTTTCCATTGTTGTTACCCCGCAGTCTCGCAAATACACTTTTTTGAGTATCCGGTAATTCCATAATAGACAAGCAGGTATATTTATCCTCATTTAATGAAGTTTAGTTGTTCTATGGGAGACAAATTCTCACTGGAAGATAAGGTTTCGTCTCAACAAAGTTAGAACGTGAAAATGATATTGAACCCATTGGATGATGTTTCAAGGCAGTACCAATATTTGCTGCTCAAACATGTTCTTAACTTGAAACCGTAAGAGCTGACGAATGATCGAAAATTTCAGCAGTGCCAATAGGTATTATAAATGATAGATGTGTTTAAAAGATCGAGTATATTATATATCTTGATGAGCTTTATCCATATACAGTATGTTCAAAAAAGAACTTCTTAAGTAGAAGATTCTAAAATCGACGTTAGGCCATGATATCTCCAAGAAATCAAATTGTCTTTTGTCCATGTATTTTCCAATTGGAATATTTTCAATCTTTGAAAGAGTCATTGGTTTTTTTTGTTGATAGCATTGATGACATTCTACTAATTTAACTGGTTTATTTTTTTGATGACAATAGATACATTCTCCAATTGGAATATTTCAATTCTGTTATCGAACTAATCCATAATATTTGGAATATTTTTGCCTATATTAGCGAAAAAAAATTAACTATCTTTATTACCTTTCAAGAAGACACTGGCAATTTCAATATTTATTCCGAAACCAATAATAGGATTTTTGTCATCAGGCTTGTCCTTTTCAATATTCATTCGCTTCTTAAAATCTTCACATACCGGTCTCCAATGCTGAACCTTGGATTATAGACTAATTTAAAATTGATAAGTTATATTAAACATAAAACATTTTAATGAAATAATGAAATACTTTTATATTTGTTCTTACATTTTCAACAAGCATATTTACTGAGGTAATATATACATCCGTTTTTTTTGTCAATTATATCATGATTAATAAAGTCGGTGACGCTTTGTGGAAGTATATTATCAGGTAAATAGTTTTGAAATCCTTGTGTGAATGTAATTTTATCATCTTCATCAGGATTTACCATATTGGTCCGCGAAGAAAACAAATTGATTTTGGATATTTCAAATGCTTCGCTTAGAGCCGCGCACTTGAACTGGCCAAATCAATTTAGCATGAATATAACTAGTGGGTTGTTCCGAAACACGGACTAATCACTTTCCGTTTCTTTAGGAACTGAAATATGAATAACCAGATGACTGGAAGCCATATAAGCAAAGAATTCAAGTAGGTACCCTGAAAGTTATCAAAAAAGAACGCGTCGATTATTACTTATTAAGGAATATTTTATAATTGAAATTAATAAAACTAATATTGAGGCAGGTTTCAAGATTACCAGTAGCAGAATCTACAATATCACAACAATCCAGTAGTATCAAATCGTGTTCTGTTAGAACGCACATCATCACACCGACTGGCAATAAAGATTTTGCTAGTTGTCCAGTAGTTGTCCTTCGGTTAGGTAATACCCCAATCAAATAAGAGGCTGTGAATGTCTATAGTACATCCAGAATTTTATGCTCCGATGAACCCCCATAACCTTGGCTTTATTAGGAAAGTTGTTCGTCCATATTAAGCATATTATTGGATGAAGTTCGACCGATAAACGTATGTTCTTTCACTTATTGTCTCAGATTGTTAAATTTGTCGGTCATAATTGTGATTACATTGGTTACTCGTAACAGGCCAATTGGATTGGACTGAGGAGTATGAAAATTTTCACTTGTAGACTAATCAAAGCATTTGATGAAGAAACAATTGACGTATCGGTTTCTGAATAAACGTAAGCATACGTTGAAACACATGTTCGTGTTCGTCAAAGGTAGTTTTTGAGATCAAAAAGTTTCAATGGAATCTCTCGTAGAATAAATTCTTGTTCCTTCATTGATTCCGAGACCTCTGCAAAATTATCAGTTTGAGTACTCGTCATTGTACTATTTTCGCCATCAGAACCTTTGTGTCAATTGGGATAAGTTGGTAATAGCTAACAATTTTTTTTTATGTATCCAAATATTCCAATAGTCTTTTCATCAAATTTCCAGATCCATATAATATTCTGTAGGTAGATAGACCACCAAAGAATGTTGAAACAACAATTGGTTCCCGTTGTGACATCTGCTGAGCTGGTACTTAACAAGGCTGATATGTCATGTTTCGAGGCATCCAAAAAGTGTTTCTCTAATCGAGTAGCAACTAAAATAAGCTGCTTTACGCAACTGATAGTGAGGAAGCTTACATCAGTTATAATGAGACCATATACCCAGTTTTTTTCAGAATTCACACCATGATGGTTTTCTAAAGAGAAAGCAAAAATTTCAACAGCACCAGCTTCAATAAAGACAGAACCACCAATTGCTAACACGTAGGAACGACGGTAAACGGAATTATAGCCAGACCACAGACTATAATTTATAAAAGTATAATAAATTTCATTAAGAAATAATAAATATTAAAATATTTTAGCGTTACATACCAATGCAACTAACAGGAACTAATAATTTCCAAATTTTGCACTCATTTATAAACGTTGCCAGTTTTAAATTTAACTTTTTTTTTTTAAATAATTATAAAAATAAATGAAATTTCTGTCGAGCTCAATGTTTTAAAAGAAAAAAGTTTAAAAAATTTGGTTCTATTTGAAAACGTATTTGCTTCTTATCAAGATTTTCCAATTTAAGTTCTCGATAAACAAATTTTACTTTCATTTCTGATGAGTCAAGGAAAACAAAATTTTAATTTAAAGAAATTCATTGAAATTTAAGATGTGCAAAGATAATCGTTTGTGTAAACGTAACCAACCTGATTTAAAATCTATATAAAACACGCCGGTCACGCCGGTCACGTGGGGACGTGGGGTGAAATTTTAATTATAAAATTGGGTAGACAACTGATCGATAGGCACTCTTTCCAAACCAAAAAATAATCATGTTTAACGTCACTAAAAACCTTTGCTTGCTTTTCTTGTTTTCTCTATTATATCCCTTCATATTACTCGCTTTTCTTTTTATAATTTGCATTCTTTGCGTACTCTCACCCATTTGGATCCCGTCTGTTGGATATATTTCTTTACTAATAAATATAATAAACACGTATCCTGTAAAAATTATTTATATTAACATCGATGTCTCGTATTTTAGCTAAAGTAATGGGCACTTTTAAAACAAATGTGAAATGCTACAAACTCTTTTCACGTACGAGAAAGTGCCTGGTCAAGTACAAAGGTTTCTTGGTAATAAATAGTTTCTTTATATTCTTGAATAGCACAGTGGCAATACGCCATAGCTCGAATGAGCCAGAACTTTAGGTGGCCCTATTCGATGCCGGAATATCTTAGAAGGAGCGCCTTCAATAGCATCACTAAGGTTGGGTCCAAATCCGATGAAGAGTTTGATTTAGAGGTTGGGCTTAACCTCCTATTTTTCTACAATGCACTTGACAAGGGTGAGTTTTCTGGACGCGAAAACGATTGGGTGACAGTACATAATCAAAGAATAATAGAGTACTATGGGCAAAAGTATGACGATGATAAATTGAACTCCATATTCAAAACTATGCCTGGTGCTGTACAAATACACAAAATTGCCACGTAGTCCACCGGCAAGAATGGTAACCGTTCGACGTGTAAACAATGGCGATGACTATAAGGTTTGAATATGTATTAGACTATATGTTTAGGAGAATTATTTTATCTATTATTTTAACGGCCCTAATGATTGGTATGTCTGATGTATTTATGGTTTCCATCGGTGATGATACCAATTGGACTAAATGGGTTCCAGCCAAAATTCAAGTCTGGGAAGAATATCCCGGTGATCAGGTGGAAGATGCCCTTATTGGCAATGACGTTACAGACCAATTAGCGTATTTACATGAGCCGGTTAATCCGGTTAAATTTTTAGATGTTAGAGACTTACTACATTTGTAAGAACTTGTAGTTAATTTTTTTATGGGTGAAGTTTCACGGTGCGCCATTGTGTTAAATCTGATATACAGTATTTCGGGAATTTTATCACTATGTAAAATCAAATGAAATGTGGTCAAAATAATAATTTATGCTAGTTTCGTATACATAATAGTGTTTACTTTATGTTAATGTGTACAGATCAAAATTTTTTTTCGCCAAAAGTTGCTGACAAATGGTATTTTCCCAATCAAATTTCACTATCACGAGACAGTGGAAAATATTCATTACAGGCATCACACCCTCTACTATTCACGCAAACTATATTTATCTGAGGGACTTGTTTTTTCGAGTGGGTTATTCGTCACTGTTTATTTTTACACGTTAGTACATAATGCCATAATGGCGTAATGCGGGCCAAAAGTCACGTGATAGTAAAATTTTTGATGGGTGGTCTTATTACATCCTTTCAATTTGCATATTTGCATTAATTAATAATTGTGACGAAATTTGATATATAAAAATTAATTATAAAATCGAACTCTGAAATTAAATAGTAATGTCAAATTGTTTATAATAAAATATCATTGAAATTAATCGCCTTTCTTCAGACAATCTCTCTTGCAACCTCTTGCATTTTTTTAATACGTTGAAGTTTTCAAATACAATGACCTAAAAGAAATTAAATTTACTAAATTCATAAGTTTAATCTAAAGTTTAAGCTAATAATGGTGAAAGTAATATAAACTCACCGCAAAGTTAAAAATTCGAAATATTTTGTAACCAATTTTACCTTATGCCATTTAACTCCACCATTCCTTTTAAACAGCCTTTTTTTTAATATTTGTAATTAATTTAATTCTGTTCATGAGTGTAAAGTCAGTTCATATTACCCACATATACTATTTTGGTGGGAGCTTCTTTGCGAGGCCTTTTGCGAAAATTTTCTCTGTTTCTTCTTGGACACCATTTTTAAGTCTTGCGTGCGAGAATTAGCGTTATCGGTTATTAAATATGTTAATTTATGTTTTTGAGTTATCCGACAAAGTGCTAACAGTCTCATCAGGACTCTTTTCCTGATAACTCGTATGTATTTTAGCAGTATATTTTTATAATGTTTTATTGCTACTCTTTTATTAAAATATTATTTTACTATGAAAGTAAAAGAAGTGAAAGAAAGAGTTTTTGTACGATACAATTCAACATATAATAAACTTGTCGCCTTGTAAAAGGGTGCGTAAAATATCAACAATCTTGAAAGCTGTCGATTCAAAGGATTGATCATATTTTATAAGTTCGTCTGAAATAACAACGAGTGCATCAAGTGTTCCAATCTATTGAATTTTAAGTTAATAAAATAAACTATTCGTTATACTGATCGTGCAAGTAATTGTTAATTTTTTAAATATGACTTTAATATTTATTTGTATGATTTAATTTAAAAATTCAACTAAAATATATATTATATGAATTAAGTTTAGTTCTTTAATTATTTTAAAAATGTACTAAAAAGTTTCAAGTTTTAGAAAGAAAGATTTATTGGATGATCCAATTGTTTTTCAGGTGCAGATGCAGTTAAGTGCGGAGTTAATGGAACAGATTTATCTACGATTTCGAATTTACAATCATCAAGCCAAGCATGACCGTCACCTAAAATAGTATTGGTGAAAGGTTTTAAATATATTAGTGTATATTTATTATAATTAACTTTTTATTTTAAGAGACTAACCTTTTAATAAAATACCAAAGGCAATTCTTTCCGCGTCTTTAGGAACATCTAAAACATTTGTAAATTCTGTCCAATTATCAGTACCTGTTAAAAATAAATAAATAAATAAATTAGGGTAATTATACATTATCTGTTATATAACAACGATATTTTACCTTTGATTGGTCGATCAAGCATATTATCGAGAGTCTGTTCCTTTGGGGTATCGACTCGCATCCACAAACCAGCATTCCCTAAGATATTCTAAAACAAAAATAATAGATAATAAACAATAAACATAAGATTATCGATTTGTTTTTAAAAAAATAAATAAATTAATATTAGAATTCTTACTTCATATTTTATGAAACATGAAAGTTGAACTCGGTTTCCTTTAAATTCTTTTGGAGTGAACCTTTGCATCAAAGTACCAAATTCACTATAGTTCACTCCTGAGAGTGATTTTATAAAACCACTACTTCCAACCTATTCAAAAAAATGGAACTCTTATAAATATGTTGCCTGAAGATAAAATTTTTAAGAAAAAAATTATATTCGCTTTAAAGTCCTTACAGCTGCTGTTCCATGAAATATTGCAGAATCGACTCCCATTTGATATTCATCTGGTTTACTTCCGGCGCGAATCCATCCCTCTAATATTAAAAAAATTCATTTAGAAGTGGAATGAATGAGGATTTTATTTGCACCCAACTTACGAGGTAATTGATCAGAAATTTGACCATAAACTTGGAACACACAAATAAGGAGAACGAATAATCGAAAAAGAAAAAAAGTATTTTTAGACATTTTATTTGCTGTTAAAACAGTAAACACAAAAGAGAAGATAATTCTTGTTTAAAGAAATATTGTATAGAAGTAATATAACACAATTTCAATTCTCTGGTTCAAAAATATGAGCTTTTAAAGAAAATGCAAGTTCATATGTATTATACAGAAGAAAGGGCGACACAAGATTTGATTCACGAGGTTTATTACAACGGAATTAAAACATCGAACATCCGAACATAGTTCTACAATGAGCCAATATCATTGAAGCCGGGCTTTGAATTCTTCAATTTCTAAATAAGAGCTTGAAATAATTTATTATTTAGATAATTTCTATAAATCGTATAATTGCGCCTGAACATTATGTTGATTGATAAAAATTTACATAAATCCAAATTAGGAACTTTTAAGAATTTCCAAAGAATAATCTAATTTTGATTTTGTCTAACGTGCAGAGAATGATAATCTTTTAAACAATCATGGTCACATGTTGTGTAAAGGTTAATATCTCTAAAAAGTTTTAATACGCCGAACAAGTTTATCAACGAGTTTTTAATTTCATTGAGAAAAATCTAAAGAAAAAAAATACCAAAAAAAGTAAAATAATAAAATTTTTTTAATTTAAAATTTTTATCATGTGTAACACGAATTTCTCATTTTTTTATTAACAATTTTATGCCTCGCTAGCTGTATCATGAGGCTCTTGTAATACAATGATTTCAAATTTTCAATTACGTACTTTTTATTACATCGTGATGATTATTCTCATTTGATTTCTTGTTTATATTATTACAAAATTGATTTATTTTTTTTTTTTTGGTTTCCTAACAAAGAGATAGTGTTGATGCAACGATCACGGTCGGGTGGTCAGTCACCAAACGGTTGGCCAGAAGCCTTTGACTGGTTTTTTTGCCCCGAATTTTATTTAAAAATATTTCGTCATGCTATAACTTTGGCTCTTGACTACAAGATTACTCCTTTAAGTTCTTGCTAATGCAGCACGATAAATGAAGAATTATTGTCCGACTATCTTTGCTAGGATCATCACATTCACATGTTTGAAAATGATGGTTTAACCACATTGTAACACTTTTCTCTTACATTGAAAAGAAAATTGCTCAATATTATCATTTATGGTTTTTAAGAGAAATGAGTTTTTCCTTTCAGGATAATACAGTATTTTTTTTTTTTTTGAAATCGATTCACGTAATTAAATGATAATTAAAATTTTAATTGAACGTTAAGCTGGCTTTCGTGCTGACTTCTACGGTTAACATTTTAAAATTATTCGGTTGGAGTATCGTATTGCATTAGACACAGTAGTCTACTTAATTGGTCAATTGCGCTCATTCTGCTCATTCTGTAAAGCTCAGATTTTTTTTTTTTTTTTTTTTTTTTTTCAGTAGACAAGTATTACAAAAAAAACTTTTAATAGAAGCAAGAACTACAAGTAGTAAAAACTAACTATTATATGTATTTAACATCCCGCAGGCAGGACCTAGTCTCCCAATTAAGAACTACTCCAACAGTAAAACTACGCTACTGCTAAAGTTAATCTGTAAAGTTCAGATGACTGATTGAAGGCTCCAATCCGTTATTTCATCCGATCACGTGATGTCATCTATGCAGGTCATGTCCTTTTTTGGCGATACCTGTTCCACAAAAAAAAAATATGACTTCGATCTGAAAATACCTCTATAATACGCAACTTTTGATAAACTCTCATGTAAGTTGTTGTATCAATATTGTTTGAAATCCTATAATAAGATATCCATTTTCTATAATTATATATAATATTTCTGAAGAAAAATACCTATTAAAAATGCAATTATTTTCAGTTTTTTTTTAACTTACTATATATCCCTTTTTTTATCAAATTTGGATCACAATAACTTGACCAAAATTATGGAATAGTGTTGGCCAAAATTATCATAATTTATTATGCCTTCTATAGTAAAAATATTCTATAACTTAATTGAAAAAGAACTCCATATATTCCTTTATAAACATTATTTCCACAAAGATTCTAAAAGTTTTTGCTGCAAATAATATTCCAAAATTAAGACAAATTTTGGATATGTAAATACTTTTTGCATACTAAATTTCATTATTGAAAATATAGAGATTTTTATGAATAAATCTGTATTTTATGATAATTTAAATTCCATTGAACTTTAAAAAAATATAAGAAAAGTATACAATATAAAATAGCTTATAATATTGCAAATGAAAATAGTCAGTAGAATAATATAGCATTATATTAAATAAAAGTTATAAAGCTATATATATGGAAAGAGAAAGGATTAACAAAGAAATTGCATAAAAATAAATAAACAAGAAGGTTATAAAGTAATTATTAAAAGAAAATTTTATAATACTGCTATGAATAATAGTATGGCAAATTCAGAAAGTATAATATTTTATAAAAATTAAAAGACTTACTTCTAAAACTTCTGATCAATTTTAGTGTAATCAACCAAAAATCTAAACTATTTCAATAGCATCCAGAAAATTCTTTAAATTTTATTGGCATTATATATTGATATGTAATTGAAAAATTTAAAGTGTACTAAATAAAATATAATAATTCATCTACTTAAAAAAAAACTAAGTCTCTTAGATTAATTTAAACAGTAAACTCAAATAGAAGTGTGATGTAATAAATAAAACAGATTATATGATCAAAGAATTTTTTTGAATGCTATTAGTTTATAAAAATCTACCCTTAATATATGATTTACTTAATATTATTCATCACTAGTATCACTATTTATATTTATATAAAAGATTTAGTTTTTCTTTTTGCTTTCCAAAATTATTTTTTTTACATTTCTTTAAATATTACCAGTTATATGAAATGAAATTTTAATTAAAAAATTGGTGGTATTATGGTAAATTATTTAGATAACTGATTAATAGATACTTTTTTCAACTAAAAAATAATCATGTTTAATATCACTAAAAATCTTTGCTTGCTTTTCTTGTTTTCTCTATTATATTCTTTTGTATTATTCATTTTCTTTTTATAATTTGTGTATTCTTATCAGAATTCTAAATAATATCATACTAATACAACTCATATTTGAGTTTCTTAAAATTTATATTAAAATTTTTCAAAAGTTACATATTATAGAAGTATTTTCAAAATTTCATTATCTTACATATCCCTATTTTATATACAATTGGATTCTAATTCACATTATTAGCTTCAACATTAATAAAATTATGCCATAAAATATATTTTTATTTGGTATTTAAAATTATTTGTAAGTTATATTAGTATTATTTAAGGTATTTTCTCATCCATTTAAATTCTGGGTATATTTCTTTAAATAAATATATATTCTGCAAAAATTATTTACTATATTAATAGGACCGGGAAAACCTATAATGGAGGTCACTGTAGTACCCGGCACACTAGTAAAATCCATTGAATTTTTTATATATACAATTTTTAATGAAGCCAAAATGTGTGGATTAAACTTATCTGTTTAAGTTTAGAGTTAAATGCATGATTTATACACTCAATTTAGATTTTTATATATTCTGTATAACACAAAAAGGTGGTTCGCATAATTAGTAAATTTTTTAAAAAGTGGTTCGCGTTATTATAAAATTTTTTTCGGAAAATTTAATGATCTCAGTTAATATTGATATTAAAAGAATAATTTATGATTCATTTTATTTTTTAGACATTTCTGTATGATTTGTTAGATTTTTAGTTTAATTACTTAAGAAAAATTTTTATTAATTTAGGCAAAACCATCATTTTACTATTGTCCGATGACCTTTATTATAAGTTTTCCCAGTCCTATATTAATATCGATCAACATATTATTAGACTTTTAGTTTCTTTATATTCTTGAATAGTATAGTAATAATACATGCAAATATTAAAGCTTACAATCTCTATTTAGTGTTCTAAAAGAGTCAAATCAGGTTGGATTTGATAATGTATTTAAACTTAACCTGAATATAAAAATTAAACTTAATAAATATTTAGATTAAAATTTATGTAATTTGATTTCTGATCTGATCTGATATAACTTAAATTCCTAAATAACTTGAATCAGATAAATTTTTCAGATTTTTAAAACGAATTTGTTTATAATCAGCAAGACAATAATAGTAATATATAGATCATACAATTTTTAAAAAAAAATTTCAATAAAATTTTATATTTTTATTGATAAAGTATAAAATTCTAAAATTCTAATTCGTATTATTAAATTATTTTTTTCATATCTTACATCTACCAAGACTTTAAATATATACATGTACAGATTGTATTAATTTTAAAATTATGAAAAATTCTTCTAAAATTTACCATTATATATATTAATAGGATTTTTTTATAATAATTATTGATGGAATTATTTTCTTTTTTTTGTAAACTTTTGCAATTTGTAAAGAATGCTTTAATATTACAGATGATTTTTATAAATTTGTCTTTTAATAACTTCAGCTGCAATCTTAATACCTTTAACATATCAAATCCTCAATTACATTTCTTGAAAAATCTCAAACATAAAGGAAAAGGTATTCCAATTCCTTTAAAAATTATATTAAGTCTTCATTTATAACTCATTTTTGTTAATAATATATAAAATATTCTCCTACTTGTCTTACTTACTAAACATTAAAAAAAGTAAGGTTAAAGTTCAAGTTGGTTAAATACAAGAGTAAGAAAAATATATAGACAACTTATTGTTGCTATAATAATTTGTTAAGTATGTTTTTTACTATTTTCTATGCTAATAAAAAGTTTCAAAAACATTTTTTATCACTAAACATTAAATTGTTATCACTTCCATATTAATGGTTCTGATCTGTACACATATTTCAAAAGGGCTAAAAGATGGTTTAAAAGTGATTAATGATATTGTATAAGCCAATATGAACTATATAAAAGATGCATGTTTTATTTGAGAAGGTGATAAATTTATTGAAAATAAGACACATAAGTCTTTCCTTTATAATGTTTCTGATGATGCATTTGTAGATTACTTTTGTCCAGTTATAGGCTTCAAATTTGAATTATTCATTTTATTCAGTAAGTGTTTTTTGCAATATCAGATTTGGAAAAGTGTTTCTTTTGTTACATTCAATATATGTTATATCTAAAAAATGAACCTTTCAGTATACTAAGAACAGTGAAGTTTTACAGTTTGTTCTAGGTTTAATATTTTAATTTCTTCTAATATTATTGTCACAATTTCTTCATTTTATTTATTAAAGATAATTCTTATTAAATTTAATTTTTACTATGATAATAATAATTGATTAGCTTATTATCTCAGAATAATTCATTATGAAATTTTCATTATTCCAAAGATCAGGTTCAAGCCAAAATACTAACCTACTTAATGGTTATTTGATCCTTCAAAATCATTTATATACAAATTACTATTAAGTATTGTCAAATAAACAGGTATATTCAAATTTTTAAAAATACAATGAAGATAACTCACAGCTTGTTGTAGGTACTTCAATTCTCAAAAATGATTGATTTAATTGCTTTGGAACTTTTATCTTTCTAAAATATTTAGTCACCTTAAATAAATTTTACATTTTTTTACTTTCTCTATGATTTCAGATAAATTAAAGGTATTTTGCGATAGTATTTAGTTCTTCATTGTACTGACAGTATTTTTCTATAAGATAATGAGAAGGAATTCCCAGAAAGATATATATGTATGACGGGGCTATATTTTTTTGTTATATAAAACAAATGACAATTAGTCAATATCACATGATATAATGATAATGAACTGTCATATAAGTCATGTGACTGGTGATTTTTTAAATAACTTTTTGAGCCAACAAAAGGCTTGAATAATGCAATAATGGAATTGGTACTATCAACATTTTTACAATAGCTTTCTTTATTTTCTTTATTATGTTAAAATACAATCATTAATTACAATGGAACTATAGCTCCACATTAATAAATGACGTCAGAAGATAATATTACGGTAACATTATTACCCTACCCCAGAATATGATTAAACATCCCCTGGTTACCGCTTCCTGTAAATTTATGTCATTGTCCTAACTCCTAATGCGTAATCAATGACCATGTCAAATTTGTATCACTTGTCAACAGACACGCAGTGATTTAAACAAAATAATTTTAATTTTTTTTTTTTAGAAGAATTTCATTACTAATCAACTCATTTAATCACTCATCTTATTTGTTCCTTGAAATATAAATGTAATATTTAGGGTTTTCTTCATCCTTGTCAATTTCCAAGTACTTAAAATCACCGAACATTATATTGAACTTTTTAGTAAGATGATCACTCATAAAATAACTATTACAATCTGTACCATCTGATACATTAATATTAATATGTGAAAGCATTATGGTCCAAACTTTCGAAGGTGTGATATTACTAGGTTGATCCAAAATTGACAAGACACGTGATTCAATTTCTTGATTCAATTGTTTATTATGAAATGAAGGATTATTACATGTATGATGATACGTAGAAAGGAAGTGGTTAACAGAAAGTTCAGCAAGAGAATGAACATAACTCATGTGACGAGCAATAAGAGCGGATTGAATTTCAAGAGGGAGTTTTTGAAACGTTGGATCTTCTTTGTATTTAGGTAAATGATCAAGAACCAACTTTGAAGTTTCTTCAAATAAGAATGAAAGCTTATATTTGTCAGCTAAATAAAAAGCATCCAATGGGTTTTTCTTAAAATTATGATATAAAAAAGTTACACCGGCGACATAAATTTTGTTTATTACATAATTTGAAGCAAGAGATAAAAGAGAGTCGATATTCTCCCAAGTAGGCATTATAAAATAACGAGGATAAATAATCGAAAGGGCAATGTCCATTACAGATGCGGATATATCAGGTATATTTATGAAAGGTAATTCATTTCCTTCATTTCCTTGTTGTTCATGATTTAATAAGGTTGGAGCAGCCATTTTTAATATAATTTTGTGTGCACGAAAGATAGTATTATCCACTATAATAAGAATGTCTCCATCAGGATAATAATGAAGGTCACTTCTCTTGCTCATGTTTTTTTTTAAAATGAAAGAAAGCTTATCTTATAATATTAAAAGTATAAAAGTAAAAGAAATTGGGGAAAAAAAGTTTTGAGAAAAATATTTGCTGTATGTTGGCTGTAGGTTGTCATACAATGATAGGATCATGTGTAACATTTGCTATTGTTATACGATTTCAAATGATTATCGAAATACAAGAAATACGGAATAAAAAATTATTAACTAATTAACGTAAAGGATTATGATATTAACAAAGAGAAATGTTGTTAATATTGTTCGTATAAGCATAGCAGGCTTTCGATTTTATCACACGAATTTTTTCGATTTTATCACGTGATATACAATTCTGATATGAAACATTGAAAAAATCGGCATATTAATATATCCTTAAATTCTGTCAATATATATGTCCTATATTAAATTTTAAATTATACCAATTTTTATATGTAACAACTTATTGATTTAACGTGATCAATACATTTTTTTTATATAAATGTTTGGCGAATTCAAAATTTTACATAATAATTATAACTCAAACTTTCCAAATTAATAAATAGCAATTTGATATACTTGTATTCAAAATTTTACTGAATATGGATGTAAAATGAAGAACTTTATATATATCATCTGTGTAAAATTAAAATCAAACATAATTCTTATAAAAAAAAATGCAAATAATTTAACTTACATATAAACTAGGCAGATGTTTTTATATTCACTTTAAAGAATAGACCAAGACCTATCCAACAAATTAAAAATTACTTTGGTTGAATCATTAGTTGATGAATAATTGCGTTCAACACATTTATTCTTAACATTTCTATATGTAGTGAATCAATTGAAAAGATCTTGATTCCAAAATTAGAGTGTGATTTAATCTTTTAAAATGTAAAATTATTTGTTTAGCCAATGATATACATACTGAGAAAATAATACCATATCACTAATATTATATCATAAAATTTCTTACCAATAAGTTATTTATAAGATTTTGTATTTTATTTAAAGAAATAAAAAAGAGTCATTTACTATTCAAAGAAAATAAAATAATAGATAGCTCAGTTTCTAACAGAGAAATAATTTATTATAAAATCCAAAACATTTGTTTTTTAAGAAGTTGTTAAATATACAAAGAAAAGAACTTCTTTAAAAGGGTTCTTTCATCATAAATTTCAATAAACATATAGTAAATTAAAAGACTTAAGTAATAAACAAACTTTTAAATATAACTGTTTCCATTGTTGTAAATAGATTTCATATTTCTTTATTTCTTCAGCTTATTACAATTTAAAAGAAAACATATTATGCTTATTTTCATTTTATAAGAAGTTTTCAAATACAGTCAACCCTTGTTATAACAAACCTTAGGTTCCAGACCTCAACTTCGCTATAGGACTATAGTGAAGATTTTAAGAGATTTAATTGGTTAATTCGTTATAACAAGAGGAAATTTATTATAGTTATCTGAAAAATTCACTATATTAAGAATTCGCTATATCAAGGTTTGACTGTATTTATAACTTCCAAATTCTGTCTCCAAAGCTGAATTCCTTTGTAATACATTTAAACATAACCTGAAAAATCAATTTTTTTTATTATTCTTTACTATTAATTTTTATGGTACAATTAAAATAAATTAGTACAATTATCATATACTGATATATTTGATATCCAGCAAATAAAATATATATCTATATAACAATTACGTTAATATTATATCATTTAAAATTACTTAAATTTTATTGTTGTTTAAGTAAAAATCATATTTGCCAATCATTATATGATTATTCAAAAATTGAAAAATCTGCTATGTTATTCATATATTATTAATGATTAAAGAAGGCTATCATTACAAATTAATTATCATAGTATAGAAAATAGCTACTGATTTCTATATTGATTTTATACTTTGTAAAATGTAATACAGTGTACGAATAAAGATAATTGCTATAGAGTAGTGTCTAAATAATCGTCAAAATATTTGCCCAGTATATTCTTTTTTGATTAAATTTTACTAGACAAATTAGAAAAATAAAACTTTGAAAATTTTATATTTTTCTATTATTATTTATCAATTTTACTAAAACATACCACTAGTGCTCAACATTATAGTATGCGATTTTGCATAAACTATGTCTTAAATTAAAAAAGTTGCTCTAATTAAAATTGCTCAACACCCTTGAAAATGGTCAAAAAAAAGTTTAATTAGTATTATTATTATTTTTTTATGCTGCAAATTCTGCAAAATAAAAAAATTTGAAAAACTTAAAAAAGTATAAATGAAGTATAAGCTGCAGCAATAAGTGATATAATCATTACATTAATTACATCAGCTTAACAAGATTGTTAATAATATGGAATAAAAAATTAGAGTAATAAATAAAAAAAATGTATAAATCATATGACTATGGTGTTGAATATCACAGTGTAAAATATAATTTTTGTTATTATATAGATAATTAGAATTACAAATTCATAGATTATTTTTAATCTTAATCCTACTTGATTTGATTATAGATTATAGAGTAAAGCCCTATTTTCCTTTTTACCAAATTTGCATCTAACTCTTAAACTATTTTGCAGCCAAATTTGCCTGCAATTTTATTTTTTAATTAAAGACACTTTTAAATACCTTAAAGTATTTTCTAAGGAAAAAAAAATTCAATTTAATTAATAGTTTTTTAAAAGTAAATGATTGACAAATTATAACAAATAGTAGCTGAATTTTTTAAATTGAAATATCTTTTTATCTATTGAATAACCCTAGAAATATAAAATTACCACCATTTGATGTGTTTTAATGAGAAGAATCTAATAGAAATAAAATTATTTTCTACAATATTATGTGATAGAATAGCTTATAAAATCTAAAAATTTATAAATTAATATAACTTTTTATTTATTAATTTAGAGTTATAATTATATTAGGAAATTTAATTATGATTGATAATTGATTAATCAATCAATTAATCGATCACAAAATTTAGAATTTAATTAATTATGATTGATCAAATATATAATCAATTAAAATACAATAATACAATCAATCAATAACTATATGATAATTTCTATTTAAATGATCTTTAAAAATTCTAATTTCAGTATGTAGGCAGATACTATTAATATTAAAATTTTTTACCAGAAGCTGTAAATGAACTACTTTTTTTTCTGTTTAAATAATATAAAATAATAATATGTAATAAATAATAAATTTTGATATTATAATATATTAAACAAAATTTAAAATTTAATATAGTAAATACAATTAAATATGATTGATTAATTTTAATCAATCATACTTATCGTAAAATAATCAATTAATCGATCAAAGATTTTAGAGGCAATTAAATTTACTAGATTTTATTATCATTAATAAGAGAAATCTAAATAAATATAATTTCATCTTTTTATAATCATTAGATTTCAAGATCAAAATTTTTAAAATTAATTTTAGCCCTTATAATTTAAGATAAATAATTTTTCCAAAAAAAAATTTGAAATTACATCATTTGAAACGATTACCTTATTTTTACTTATAAAAATGTATTCATAAATTATTGTTTATTTGTAAAAATAATATATTATTATATAATATTATGTAAAAAAAAATTATTAAATAATTAATAATTAATAACATTTTTCTTAGATAAGATATAAATAATTTAATAGACTTATTTGTTATTATTTATTTTATTTATATTCATATTAATTAATTAGTGTTATATATATTATAATTTATATATATTAACAAAATAATAATTAATAGATATTGTAAATATTTTGTAAAAAAAAATTATTTTAGATTTAAAAAAATGAAAAAAAAATTAATATAAAATAATTAAAAACAATTTATTTTAAATTGAGAAAAAAAAAATTCATTATGAATGAAATAAATAAAAATTATTTTGAATTGAGAAAAAAAATATTTAATTTAAATAAACCTTAAAAAATAAAATAAAATAAATTTGTGATTTTACAAATTTGCAAATTTGCAAAAAAAAAAAGAAAATGTCTGCAAAATTCAATATGATTTGTTATATACATAATATTGCTGAATATTTAATACAAGACTTTACTATAGAAGAAATTACTGGTATTATGAGAATTAAAGATAATGATTTAACTAAAATTATTTATCTAAAAATCAAAGCCTTTATTTTATCCGATCAAAATATTAAACCTAAAATTAAAGATTTTGAAAATGAACAAATTATTATGGTCAAAGGAAAATTTATAGGATGCGATTGATAGTATACTATATGTATTTTTTATTTTGTTATGTAAAAAAAAAAGAAAATATTGTATAAATTATAAAAAATATTATTTTATCAATTAAAAAAAAAAATACTAAGGTAAACATTACTTTAATCAAGTTATTACCAATTCTAGATTTTAATAATATGGCATCTATCAGTTTAAATATAATACTAGTAAGATTGAATTATAAATAATAAATAAAGATGAGTATAAAATTATCATTAAGATATTACCAGCATATATATATATAATAGATGACCAATAAGTAACTGATAAGTATTTAATTTATGACTGATAATGTGTAAATGTATTAAATAAATCTACTAGTATTAATATTAAATTGCTAGAAATTGCAAAAAAAGTTAAAACTGATAGTTTTGGCATTTTTTTATATTAAATTTCCAAAATTAATAGTTCCAGCATTTTTCTATGTAAAAATGCAAAAAAAAAACAGTTTCAATATATTTTTTATGTAAAAATATGAAAAAAAATGCTGAAACTAATGATTCTAACATTATTTTATAAAATGTGAAAAAAAAGCTGAAACTGATGTTCCAGCATTTTCCATACAAAATGTGGAAAAAAAATGCTGAAACTAATTGTTCTAGTATTTTTCTATGTAAAAATGTAAAAAATATATATATAATTTTTTTATTTAACTCTTCTACATATTTATAATCTTTTTTAGTGTGTTGTAATAAACTTTAAACTCTTTAATAAGATATTGTTTTTATATTTATTATTTAGATGAGTATACTTTTTATCAAAATAAAATACTAATTAAATTTATTTTAACAGATGTAATGTAATAATTTTATAATAAATAGTGAATTAGTCTATTTCTGAAATACGATGTAATTAATTAATGAAGAAGTATATAGATAAGCTGCAAGTGTTTCAGTTATATTGCCTGGCTTTTATTTACTTTTACATAAACTACATACTATTGCAATAACTTTCTCATAATCATTTATTTTCTTATAAAAAAATTCACAAACTATAGATGTACATGAGTACATCTTTTAATTTATTTTTGAGTATTATTATTATTACTACTATTTAATATTTGGTTATCATCAGTTTGACTAATGGTCTGACTATTAGCAGAAATAGTAATGGATTTGTATTAGAATTATTTTCATTTTCAATATAAATTAAGATTATTTTGATTTTTTTTTAATAACAAATAACAATTAGTAAAATATATTAATTTGAATATTTAAAACAATTAAAGTACACATATCAATGATCATCTTCTCCAGAGTATTACTCACTCTAGAATTACTTTATAGAGTATTACAATGGAGTAATATGGAGTAATTAGAGTGATCTACATTAGAGTAGAGTATTTGGCTTGTGGCTTAAACTCCAATATAACTCTAGAGTATGTTACTCCATTAATATCTTCAGTTCAAATGTCTCCAAAAAAATTAAATGAGCTAAATAAGTATAAGAAAGAGTGTGAGAAAAAGTATGAAGAAGAAAAAGATCATGAGAAGGAGTTGTATGGTAAAGAATGTGTTGCCCATTGTATCAACTTTGTTGTAGATAAAGCAAATGAAAAAGTTGCTGACTTGAATATTCATGATAGATTTTCCTGTTATTTAGCAACAATACTTGCAAGGGACAAAGAAGTAGTTGCAGTGTGGTTGAGAATTTTAAAAGATAGCAGTGAAATTTACCTTTTTAAGAACTTTAATTGGCTCAGCGAAGATGAGAAGTATATTGAAGATATTACAAAATATCTGAAAGTTATATAAAAAAATGCTCCTGTGAATTTAACAGATACTGAAAAGACTTTTTTCATAGCTGTGATGTCATGCTGCTGTACTAAATTTGAGTCTAGATGGAATAAACTTAATAATGATATGAATAATAATGATAATGAACACGTTAAATCTTTAAGAGATTATATTTCAGCAGAGATTGGTGATGAGGGAAATTATATCAGCTTATCCCTAGTTTGTTACGAGTATTATAAGCTAGTTAAAGATAATTCTAATATCTCCCCAAAATTTTTAGGACATATTAAGAAAGTGGGATCGTATTTTGCATCTATTAAAGGTATCATAGATTGTGCAAAGAAGCCACAATATAAACCACTATTCTCTAACATTAAAGTGAAAAAAGGAAAGCCTGTTATTATAGATAATCAGCCCATATATTCATGGAAAAATATTATCAAAAGGTTTATTGATGAAGATGAAGAAGTCGAAGACAAATATGAACGTTTCATGGATAGGTGTTTGAAAAAACCTGAAGTAATGGGAAGAATCCGTAAAGTATATACCGACAATGCCACAAAACAACCACAACTTGATGATGACGTTGAAAAATGTATATACTTACATGCGGAGATGAACATTTTGGCCTCCTTAATTATCAACAATAAAATTACAAGTAGGGTGTTTATAGCAGTGTCTAAGAGATGCTGTTACTTGTGCGAACTTTATATTAATTTTGCAATAAAACAAGGATATAATATCGTCATCTCTGGGAAACACCAGAAATTATATGATGGATGGATACTTCCGCATGTAAAGAATAGCGACTTCAAGAACAAATCCCTAATATATATACTAGAAAATCTTGATCGAATCATAGAGAAAAAAATAGAACACTATACCAGGAGTTTGCCGGCGGATTCTAACAGTGGTGGAAATAGTCCAGATCCACATGATGTAGGTGGTAATATATATAATATGGGATTTATGAAAAATTTGACAATGTATGTAAGTCAATAAAACTTAGAAAAAAATAATGTATGCAATTTTCAATATTTTCAATTTATGAGCTATACTTTTTTTATATAAAACATTATAATTAGGGAATATCAAATTTGTAGAGAAAAAAGTGTAATTACAGGAATGAGAGTATATTCTATCAATAAAGCATAAAAATTCAAAGTGAACTTTATTTTTCATGAATGTAAAAAAGTTAAATATCTCATGCTCTAACCCATAAGATGATATTATCTAATGTTACTTTTCACCTATTTACGATTTAAAGGATTCAGATCAAACTTGATGGACTGATTACCTTTTGAACTTTGAAAGATAGAAATGTCAACACACACATATCTTGATGGAGATATTTTAATAATCGTAGAGAATGTCTCATTTAAGGTACATAAAACAATATTAAGTTTGCGTCCGCCGTATTTAAAGATATGATCGATCATGCCTGCGAAGAAGAAATTCCAATATTTGTAATAGAACAAGAAAATGCTCGAGACTTTAACGATTTACTTTCATTTATTTATCCTCATATATACGCACCAAATACTTAGAATAACGTTGAAAGATTATTGAGAATCTCGGATAAATTTGTGATAGAATCATTGATCATAGCTTGCAAAAAATTTCTTGAAGATAATTATCGTAGGAATCCTATGTTACCATTTTTGTTGGCTGATACTTATAATTTTAAAAGTCTTTATAAAGAATCATCAAAACTAATCTTAAATAATTATCAAAATTTTATACATGAACCTCTTTTCAAAAGATTTTCTGAAAAAACAAGGTCTTCATTGAATGAAAGATATATTAAATTCTTTTTTGGATTTTGTTCGATAGTTAACGGTAAAAATAAAATTCTTAGTGATTATGTTCATAAATGTAGTAACTCGAGACATCATGATGTCCTTGAAGACGAGTTAAAAAATCCACCTTTACCCTCAAAAATTTATAAAAAAATATTTCTTCAAATTAACGTTAATGGTGAATATAATAGAAAGTGTAACGACCATTTTACAAATACGTATCTACCTGGTGATTTTGAGGCTTTAGGCGATGGCGCAGTTGGCGCAGTTGGCACAGTTGGTGTCATTCATGATCAAAAATATATTTTTATTGAAAATGAAATATGTCTGTCTTATTTAGGAAATATTTTTCTTATAATGAACAATAAAGGAATATTTTTACGTCATATGTGACACATAATCAATTGTGATAAAAGGGTTTACTTTTTCCGCATGAGAAATAGTTAGATATATTATTTCGTACTTTACTTTTTGTTTTCGCGTTTCAAAAGACTGTGAGTTTCCGAAGGTTTATTTAAAGATATTCCTTTTGATTTTTTTTTTCATTTATATTTCTCGTAGCTATAAGAAAAAAATTTTTTTTTTTCATTTTTTCATATATATAATATTGTATATGGTATATGTATATATGTGTGTATATAAACATAATACATATTTTTTTTAAAAAATATTCTTTTTAAAAAAAAAGCCAAATATTATATATTAAGTGAGGAAAAAAATTTTTTTAAAAAAAATTTTGGTATTTTTTTTTCCTTTATATTTTATTTGATCTTATTAAATTTATTAAATTTATTATTATTATTGTCGTTGTTATTATTATTATTATTATTTTTATTATTTTTTCTTTTTTAAAAGAAGTCGTCGTAAGATCGTATAACTAAGTGAGTTTCTTTTTTTTTTAAAAAAAAAATAGAAATAATAATAAATAATAATACTTCAATAATAATTTATTTTAATTATTTAATATTCTCTATAGAAATATTAGCAAAAATTACCATGTCAACCGTTCGAAAACCAGAACAAATAATAATAATTGATGATGACGCAGGAACAGAATCTAATGCTCAAAAGTCTAATTCTAATTCTAATGTTTGTAAAGAGAATTTGTCTCATTTAACTCGTACTTTCACAACAATGTTGGGAACTTTATATGGAATGTCTTCGGATGATATCAACAAAATGATGAATTCGGAGAAAGGTTTGATGACTGAATTTCATAATACAATCGAAACTTTGTCTGAAATTTTCAAAGATTCTTCCAATAAAGAAATACCGAAGACTCTTCAAAATAATAATAATATGGACATTATTAATACGTCTCATAATTTAGAGACACCACTGAATGTTTCTTTGAATAACGCATCAAGTAAAGAAATATCAGTGAGTAGTATTAATAACGTTCCATTAAATATGTTGAGAGATGAGTCTTCAACCGTTAACGGTATTTCTGCGAATCCCCAGGTTACTTTGATTAAAAATGAGTTACCAATAAATTTTCATCAAGATAATAATTTAACCGGTTCTTCTATTAATGAAAAGGGAAAATCCACTCAATTATCTGAAGTGTCACGAATTGAAAATCCTTCGAGTGGAATTAAAATTGGTGACAATTGGGAATTACCTATTATTGTGTTGGACAGTGACGATGAAGACGATGATGCAACCATTATTGAGATTGATTCCGATGAAGAAGAGATTCAAGAATTAAAGAAAATGATGTCTTTAGATGATATTGATTGTATTGAAATAGGAAAAGATGAATTTGAGAAGGCAAGAAAGGCCAAAGGAGAAACTACTGAAGACACTGATGATGAGATTTTTATTCCGATTGTGCCTGATGATGGAAGCATATCTAGAAAAAGGCGACGTAAAATTAAACCAACAAAAATAGGTGAAGTAGAACAGAAATCTTCTCGAAGAAAAATTGCTGAAGATGATGAAATTTGTAAGCTTCCATTCATTTTTTTTTTTTTTTTATTTTAACGAAATTTATTAATTGTTTTAAATTATTATTATTATTATTTTAATTAAACAGTTGATGATCCTTCAGTATGGAGAAAGGATCTTCTCCCATTTCCTTATATTACCAATCATGTTTTACGTGCTTGGGCAACGGGATTTTTACATTATAGAAGTGAATGGGAAAGGCTTGAATATCTTGGTGATAAGGTCCTCATGTTTTGTGTTTTGAGATTCGCGACTGCTAAATATCTCCGATTTTACACTCCCTCAGATATTAAAGTTGTAACCACTTTTTTGGTTTCAAACAAATTGCTCGCTGCTTATTCTTTGACACTTGGTCTTGATAAAAAAAATCATATGCAAGGTCATGTTATCAATAAGAAAATAGCTGATGCCTTTGAAGCTTACATTGGAGCATATTACTTGTCTGATGGAGAAGAAGCAACGACGAGATATTTAGAACAGTTAATGAGCCCATTATTTGAATTGGTACTTTCAAATATACAAACTGGGCGTAATCCGCACAAAATCATGAAAGTTATATCAAATTATTTTCATATGACATTCTTGACAAGAATACCGAAATTAAAATAACTTTTAATATTATATTCAAATCGGTGAGTCAATATTGTTGTAATTGTTGGATGCTCAACTTGTTTAGGGGATGATGTCTTTTAAATAAAGTAAGTGCATATAATCATAATTTTTATATTATATTTCCTGTGTCGTTTCTAATTTTATAAATTTTTATTTTCAAAAAATTATTCGATTAAAGCGATCGAAGTTTAGGATGAATCCATGATTTTTTTATAAGAATGGAATTTCATTTTAACGAACAAAATTACTTTAAGAAATAACCACATCTATTGATCAAGATATGAAACTTGATCATCGATCTGCAAAAAATCTGAAAATTCGCGGTCATCTTTCTATTTACCGAAAGTGAGCTTATTTATAAGGGAGGAAACACTTTATTACAATAATGTATACCAGAAGTTATCAATCACGCGTCCTTGAAACATTAATATCTTCCTACTATATCGAAGTATTGAATGAATTTCGATATGGAACATAATTGATCAACATGAATTTATCAGTCAGTTATAGGAAAAATTCTTAAGTAATTTTACAAATTTCTCGTTTTCAAAATCAAAATAAAAGATTTCCTTAGTTCTTAAAGCAACACATCGAGTAGATTTTCAACAAGATATTTAGAATGAGATGAGTTCTAATTATAGAGATGTTAGAAGGATCCGTAGTGAGGAATGGTTCGTTTAGAATACGCGTTATGAGAAATTTTACAATTATTCATTTAATATTACCTATTTTTAGATGTAAATATTTATATATTTTTTGTTTAAATGTAAATATTATTTTCATTCAATAAAAATATACGTGTCAATAATAGAATTATTATTATTATTAATTTGATCAACTTTTCAATTTCCAAAAGTTTAAAAATTTTTTTTGTGCATTATTATTATTTTATTAATTGAAAAATCGTATTATTTACGCTACCTCCCTTTAATAGGACACGTTGATTGCAATGTGGTACAAAAGTTACTCCATTATGTCACAATTTATGTGCGAAAAATGAGGTAATAAAATTTGATTTTACATATCACGTGATCTGTATACTTACCAAACATGTGATCAGCTTTCTTAAAAGCTAAATTAAAATTAAACAATCTTTACTAATAGTTAATAAAATTAATTTAAAATAATAATTAAATTTAAAATTAATTAAATCATCTAAAATTAATTTAAAAGATTCAATATTAATTGATAAAATGTATAAAAAATTAAAGAATCTTTAAAAGATTTAAAAAAAAATTCAATTTGTCCTGAAAATTAAAAGATCCAATTTAAAATAATCACTTTTTAATGAAATACCCAATTTATTTATATATTAATATTACAATTTTTTACATCTAAAAAAAGTTTGCAAATTTATTCAAAATAACAGTTTTTTTTTTTTAAAAAAAAAATAATTAAATTTAATTATATACAATTCAGGTCCTGAAAAAATAATTTTTTCATCATCAAATCATTACTTAATATAAATATATGAAAGATTTTACCAAAAAAACATTAGAGGAAACTAAACAAAAAAATAAAGATAATAATTTTTTTTTATGTTCTAAAATTTATTTATTCTATTATATATAATCTTCACAATCATCTAACAATGTAAAAAGTGGATATATAAGACGCAGTTAAAAAAAATTTTTTTAAGAAATATAATAATTATTCGCATGATTATACAGGTTAACAATGTAGTAAAATATGATATATCAAAGAAATCGAAAAAAAAATGGATTTGTTCTAATGATCTCGTTACATTTATAATAAATACCTTTTAATTATTGGTTAAAAAATTATTTGTTTTAAATGAACTAGTCCAGAATAATACTAAAATTAATAATTTTGCTTTTTTCATAAACTTATATCAGATTATTAAAAAGGATCTTTATTATATGTAAAAGAGCTTTCCGTAATTTAGAAAAGGTATCAAATATATAAAGCGATAATTGTAAAAGTAATTTGTTGTAGCATGCATTTTTATGCATGAAAGATTTTTTGATCTCCTGATCCCTTTTGTATCTATCCCACAATAGTAATAAACTAGCTTTTAGTGTAATACCAATTAGTAATTACAGATGTTTATTTAAACTGCTTATCCATCTTTTTAAAAAAAAGTCCATTTTATTTTATTTTTTAAAAAAAAGGTAAATTGATAGATAATCGTAAAATTGTGAATGATTTAATTATATTTATTAATTTTTATATTATTTATACAGAAAAATTAAATCATCTAAAATATAAATTATGGCCGAAGCACAAACTTCAACTACTACTACTACTACTACTAGTACTACTACTAGTAATCCACTTTTTGATAAATTTACTGAAGAAGAGAAGAAAAAGGTGGAAGAACTTAAAACTCATCTTCCCGATATTTTAAAAGGAGCTGATGTACAAAATTATACTCTATGGGGTGTTGAATTGAATAAAGATTCCAATGATAGAAGATTAGAAGTTATTCTTATTAAATTTTTAAAAGCCAGGTAAATTATAATTATATATATACAAGTTAAAAAAAGCTGTTCTAATTTTCACTACAAATATTTTTTTTTTTTTTAATATTATTTTATTAGAAATTTTGAAATAGATCAAGCAAAAGAAATGTTGATAAAATCAATTAAATGGAGGATTGAATTTAAAACTGGTGAAATACTTTCCGAAACTTTTCCTGCCTCAATATTTGGAAAAGTAGGATTCTTTCATAAACATGATAAAGAAAATCGTCCAGTTACTTATAACCTTTATGGAGGTCTTGATAATAATCAAGTTTTTGGAGAATTGGAACGATTCATTAGATGGCGCGTACAATTAATGGAAAAAGGAATTCAATTATTGGATTTTGTTAATGTTGATCAAATGATTCAAGTACATGATTATAATTTAGTCGCTTATGCAAATTATGATAGTACTGTTAAAAATGCAAGTAAAAATGTTACTCAAGTTTTACAAGAAAATTATCCTGAATTTTTGGTAAATTCATTTATTTATTCATCATTATTATTATTATGGTTTTTTTTTCTCTTCTCTTTTTTCTTTTTAACGTTACTTATATATTTTATAGGCGGCGAAATTTTTTGTTAATGTACCTTGGTGGGGAGATATGATGTTTAAATTTGTTTCAATGTTCTTGTCTGAACAAACAAAAAAGAAATTTATCGTAACTTCCGCTGGTGGCGTCAAAGATTCTATGTTAAATTTAATTCCTGAGGAAAATTTACCTACTATTTATGGTGGTAAAAGTGTTATTCCTGAACTTGAAGAAAAATCTGAAGGTGATAAACCTAAAGTTGATGAACCTGAACCTAAAAATGATAAACCAACCGAATAAGTTGTTCATAAGTATTATAATATAATTTATCATTTTATGTTGTATTTGTTACTAAATAGTATAGGTAAATATCTAAAAAAAAAAAAGGCGCGAGAAGAATATATATGTATTATATAAATTAGTATAATTCTACATTAGATCACATGATTGATGTGTGACAAGCGTGTAAAAAAAATTGTGCAATCCCTTCTTCCTTTATTAAAAAATCTATATCTATAATCTATATACTTTTATACATTCTTTGTTAAAAGAGAAATAAAACTTTATCATCTGATTACTTACAATAGTATTCTATTTTTTTTTTTGAATACTAATTATAATAATCAGAATTAATAAAAATATTTTACCCCCTTTTATATATATGATTATTTATCGAAATTTCATCAAACACATCCCATGATGTGATTAATAATAAATTTCAAAAAAATTTTCAATTATTATTATTACATTATTACTATTAATTTTACTATTATTATTATTTCTATTATTGTTATTGTTATTATTTACTAATTATATTTATAAGTTACTATTATTATAATTTAATCTTTATTCATCTTTAATTCTTTGTTATCTGTAATTTTTTTTTTTATCTTTTTTTGTTTTTATTTTTTTTTATTTTTTTTATACTTCAGAAGAATCAACATCCGAAAAATATGAATTCATCTCATTGAGTTCAATAACAGCTTCTGCGGTGGCTTTTGTATATATAGAAAATTAAAATAAACAAACAATTAATAAAAAATAATATAGATGATTATAAAATATTTTTTTAATAAATAAACACAAACCTGCTTCCCGATCTGGATTCAATTCTCTATTAAAGTTAAAATTAAATTATATTTATGAATTAATAAAATAAATCCGTTTTAGATGACGCGACAAGGTAAAATAATTACTTCTACTTACGCTTTTAAAATTCCGATTAAGACCGCGATAAGACATATTGGGGTTAGAAAATTTGAAATTGCGGTAAATAACAAGCCAATCCAAAGAGCGCTAAACAACTTTTCATAAGTTACGACAATAGGAATTAAACTAGCACTGAACCTAAATTAAAAAGCCATTTGAGTGAATTTTGATTTAAAAAACAAAATATATAGATAAATGATAAAGATCCGTTACCATAACATCAAAATAAAGATACTATAATTAAATATGCGTATCTAAAATTAATGAAAAAAAGTATAAGTGTCAAAAAGGTGAATCGTTTAAAATAATAATAATTTGAAATAAAGTGTACCTTAGTAACGTACGCTTCAAAGGCGACTTTTGCATTTTCCAACCTTCTTTTTATTCTATCAGAGACATTTCTATTCCTTGCATCTTGAATTCCTGTTAGCGCGAAACTTTCTTTAACCATTCTTACCAAATTTCTTCCATGATATATTAAGATGACGATAACTAAAGTACAATTAAACCAAAAAGTTCCATGCAAAAAACCATTGGCATATAAAAATGCTTTATTATGTTTCATATAAGCATTGTTTTCTCGTACAATGTTTCGATTTAATCCCATCATAATAGAAGATGTTGTAGTTAAAGACAAAAGTAAAATAATTAAAGTCCAAAAAGTAATGGTCACTTGATAACCTTTGGGAATCCATACTGTTGTTGATCTACTTCTATTATCATTATTTTCATGAATTACATTATCAAATGTTCGATGTGTAGGCGATGTTGTAAATTGTTCAAATTTCATCCGTAATATAGATTGAAACATTCCTGCTATAAAACTATAAATTCCCATGAATCCTGGTGACCAGCTGAATGCATAGATTAAATCGCGAATTATCGGATATCCAGAAAAGGAATTAAAAAGTATTACAAAACAGTATATTATACGCACTATATATTAATTAGTTAATAAAATGATCAGCATCATGAAAAGAAAAAAAATGTAAAATTAAAAAAATTCTTACTTAAATTACTAATTCCGCACCATATCAGAAAACCTTCCACGGGAGAGAATAATTTATCATTAAATAATTTTAAATTCTTTCGATACACTAATTTCCAATAAATTAAAGAAAAAGAAAATATACAAGGGATAGACCAAATAATTATCGAAATTATATACAAAATTCTATACTCTTTTGACCCTTCGCAGTTATGTATGCCGTAAGTGAACCTTTAATAATTAATAAGAGACAATTAACATTGATTGATAAGGAAAAAAAGTAATTAATAAAAAAAAAGCCAAAGAAAACTCACTCGCAAAAATTTGATGTAGACATTTTAATATATACAATTGTTTAAATTAAAAGACGCAGTCTTTAGATATGTAATGAATAACAATTGTTATTTTATTCCATGAGATGAAAACAAAATAGAAAATAAAAAGAATGTATAAAGTTAAAAAAAGGAGGGGGAAGAAAGGAGGGTGGGTCTTCTCACAGAGAAGGAAAAAAAGAAAGGCTGATGGCAAAATCCGATAAATTTCCGTATTTTATTTATAATTTTTTTCTGAATGAGCTAAATTTGGAAATTCGCATGTTTAAAATTATCACACTGGTTCATCTATAAATAGTTACAGAAACACCGGTGATAGATCTTAATATTCGGAACACGAATTAACATTATTAGAGACAATGGTTGGTTTATCTGACGTAATACAAGGGAATTATGCAATATGTTGCCATCAGAACGAATAAAAAAAAAATTTTATTATTTATTGAAGATGAATTTATATTTTATTCAATACTTTAGAAATCAGAAAATTATAAAAAATATTAATTCTCTTTGGAGGAGTTTTCAATGAACGTTTTAAAATAAGTATACATATAAGTATAAATGAAAGCGAAAAGTTTAATAATGATTTTCGCAATTCAGTTCCAAATGCGGCATTCACGTTATTTCTTGTCTAATCTACATAAAATCCACATGCAAACGACTTGAGCTTAAATTAAAAGAATAATGAATCGTGGAATAAGTGGCTTTTAAGTTTGCATATTTTTCCGAGTAGAAGTGTTGAAATGGAAATTGAACAAACATTTTGTGCATTTATTTCATCCAATCAAATAAAGTGCCTGCGGTTCATTCATTAAATTCATTAGAAGTGTATTCCTTTTTTGTGTCATTCTCTTAAGAAACTACCAATTGGAATAATGTCCAGAATTTTGCGAAGTAATATTTTAATTTTTTTCGCATGATGATTTGTTCTCCCATCATATGCTTTGTAATTGAATACAGAATTTCAATTTTTCACAAAAAAGTTTAATTAGCCTTTTAACTCGGGAAATATTTGGTTACACGACTTTTTCACTCATTAACCAATCGCATTCATTGTAAAAATGATATTAAATGTAATGATCTACCTTATTTTACACAGGAAATTCTCTTTAGAAATGTCATCCGCAGCGGCTCAATTACAAAAGAGAATTCTTTCGTTTTGGTTTAAAGGTTTGTATTTTAAAGATAAAACTTTAAATGTGATTGAAGAATTGTTTTTGGTTGAAGTAGGGTTTTTTTTTCTTTAATATAACTATTAGGATTCGTTTATGGAGAACCACTTCCACCTTCATTAATGCAATTTTGGTTCGAAGGTGGTGAATTAATTGATAATGAATGTAAGAATAGTTTCGGTAAAGAAATAGAAGAAATTTTTGAGAAAAAAAGTTATGTTGATGAAATGAAACAAACCCCAGAGGTATTTACATTTTAATTGTACAATTGCATTAATACAATATTAAATTGACTTTATATTAAAGGGAACTCTGGGATTAGCAATCTTACTCGATCAAATTCCTCGTAATATATTTCGTAAAACTAAAAGGCCATTCGCCGATTTTGATCCAATAGCATTGGATGTTGCTAAATATTGTGTAGATCGTAAATGGGATGAAGATCTGAACCCTATCCAAAGAGAATTCATTTATTTGGTAACGATTATATATATATATTTTTCTTAAAATTGAAATATTTAAATATTTTCGCAATTTATTGTTACAGCCATTTGAACATTCTGAAAATTTGGAAGATCAAGAAATTAGTGTACGAAAGCATCAATGGAATGTTGAAAATTCTCCCAAGGTAATTAATTAGAATATTAAGTATTATTTATTTTTAAATGGCAAATTAATAATTTCTTTTTTTTATAGGTTTATTTAGAAATATCAAAGATCTTTGCTAATTTTGCTGATCAGCATAAAGTTGTAATCGAAAAATTTGGCAGATTTCCTCATAGAAATAAATATTTGGGTAGAGAATCTACCAAAGAAGAAATAGAGTATCTTGAAAGTGGTGGAGGATTTTAATAAATAATAATTTATTTAATAAATTATTTAAATTATTTAATCTTTAGTTAAAAATAAGCTGTATTATAAGCAATAAAAGATCATATGTGATTTTATAACTATTGTTCGAATAATTTTAAGAAATGATTGTTTTTATTTCTAATATGACCTCAAAATATTTCGGGTTTAAATAAATGGTGGAAATGATTCTGTTTAAGAAACAAGTCTTAAAACTTGAGTAATAATTTGTGGTTCGGATTTTTGAAGATTTTTATGTTCCAACCATAAAGATCTTTCTGTTTGAGATTGACCTCCTCTAGCTCCAAATAATAATGCTTGTTCTTCTGCAACACGTTCTGCTACTTCTTCTCTTGCTCGAATTTTATAAAATTCATTACATGCTTGAATATATGCATCATTTTTTGACATCCCTTTCTTTTTGATTAAATATTCTTGATATTTAATAACACTAAAAGAAAAAAAAATTTTTATATTAGCGAATATATTTCTTCACGTTTAAGATTTTTATAGAAAAAAATTAAATAAAAACTTCACTTTTCACCAGTAACTCGGCAAGGAAATTTTAAATTGCCCAAAATCTTCTCCACGAATCCACCGTCCTGTTCTATCAAAATTTGTGGTCTTAATAATTCATATGGATGATCACGATAAAAATCTTTACGCAAAGCATCTAACATATAATAAATTTTTTGTGGTCTTGGAACTTTTGTTTTCAAATGTTTTTGAGAATGAGACTTCGTGTCTCGCCGAAGGCGCAAATTATGGTTTTGTAAATTATCCTCACGAAATTGTAAAGGACTACGTAATAAACTTTGACCAGGTGGAATATTTTTCATGGCCGAATACCATACTGGAAGAGATTTTATAATTTTCCCAGTAAATAACCGTGATACATGATTATGAAGTTGTGTTGGTGAGGCATAGTGAGGCATATTATTATTCGATTTAAAAAAAAAGGTTATGAGCTAAAGATTTGTACTGATTGATGATCAATTCCACGGCTGATGTTCAGATCGCCCGTCATATGACATTTATGTTTGTACAATCATGATGAATTGATTGTTGGAAGAGTTTAAATTTTACGAGTGCTCGATATTAATCTATTCTTCAACATTCTTCAACGACACTAGAAGGCTATGAGAAGAACTTCTCAAAGTTCCATAACAATGGAGGATCAAATGAAACTTTTAGAAGAGGCTCTGAATGTAGTTAGAGTTCAAGCACATCATATGAAAAAATGCTTGGTATTGTCAAAATACTTTTGAGTATAATCTCGTAACTTTCAATGCTTAATACCTTCTCACTTATGAACTAATGTTTTACTTGTTGATAGGATAATAACAAACTCATGGATGGTTTAAAGCATTGTTCAACGATGTTAGCAGAACTTCGTACATCTGCTTTAACTCCAAAACATTATTATGAACTCTGTATCTTTTTTTTATTATTTTATTTTTTAGCTAAAATTAAAACGCATAAAATCACTTTTATTTTATGTATATTGTAATTTGATCGATTTTATTATCAACCTTGACGAAATGTTTTACGGAAAGATATGGCAATTTTTGATGCTCTCCGACACCTCACAACATATCTTAATGACGCACATAATTCTGGAAAACATCATCTTGCTGACCTTTATGAATTAGTACAATACGCCGGAAACATAATTCCGCGTTTATACCTCATGATTACGGTTGGTAGTGTCTATATGTCACAAAAGGATGCTCCGGTCAAAGAAATTATGAAAGATATGATGGAAATGTCTCGTGGTGTTCAACACCCGACTCGTGGGTTATTCTTGAGACATTATTTGAGCGGAATGACGAGAGACTCATTACCAGTTGGAAATGATGATGGGCAAGTGAAAAATTTTTTTTTATTTTTTTGATAGTGATTGACCTAATGATTGTCTTTAATATATAATAATTATTATTATAGTCCACAAGGCAACCTTCAAGATTCAATTTCTTTTATCCTTACTAATTTTATTGAAATGAATAAACTTTGGGTACGCCTGCAACATCAAGGTCACTCAAGAGACCGTGAGAAGCGTGAGATGGAACGGAAAGAATTAAGAATTTTAGTTGGTACTAATTTAGTTCGATTAAGTCAGCTGGAAGGCGTTGATCTACAGTTGTACCAAAAGGTATTTATAGGTCATGTGATTGGTTTTAAATAAAAAAATAACACTAATTTCTAATTTTTTTTGTACAGACTATATTGCCGGGTATTTTAGAACAAGTTATTAACTGTAAAGATGTCATCGCACAAGAGTATTTAATGGAAGTTATCATTCAGGTATATACGCTTGATATTTTAAATAATATTTATATACTTCGGTAGTTATTATTAACTTTCGATTTTGATCGGTTAGGTGTTCCATGATGATTTCCATCTTCGAACACTTGGTCCATATTTATCAGCCACTGCGTTACTTCATCCAAAAGTTAATGTAAAGCAGATTGTAATTGCATTAATTGATCGTCTTGCGGCATATGCTGCTCGCGAGGCCGATTCTGAACCGCCTGAAGTAATTAAACGCCAAAAGGAAGAAGCCGCTAAGAGGCTTTATGAAAAATTAAAAAAGCAAAATATTGGAGGTTATAATGAGGAGGAGGATAATGAATCAAATTCAAATGGAAAATTTGTTTTGGAAGAAGAGGAGGATGAGGAAGTAGAGGAGGAAAAGGAAAAGTTAAAGGAGGATACTGGATTTGAATTTGGTAATTTTGAGAGGGAAGAGCTAAATGGGGAGACCGGATTCGAATTCGGTAATATTAATGATGATAATAATCAAACGTCCGAGCCACAACCGGATGAAACTAAACAACAGGGAAATAATAAATCAAATGAACCTCCCGTCAAAAGATTTCGTGGTATCCCTGAAGATGTTAAACTTTTTGAAGTGTTCTGGGGACAAATTGTCGATTTGGTTAAGGTTCGTAAAGATTGTATATAAATCAAAAATCGATCGTTGTTACGAACTGGTTTTCTCATTTTTTTTTTTTTTTTTTTAGGCTCGTCCCGACTTGTCTATTCAAGACATCACTGCCTTGTTGGTATCATTAGTTAATTTGTCATTGAGTTGTTACCCTGACAAGATTGAATATGTTGATCAAGTCATTGAATTTGCCAAGCAAAAAGTTTTAGACTTCCATGATAGGTAAATTGGTGGTTTTAAGAGATATATAATAGTTTTTTATTTTAATTGGAAGTTCTTTTCATCTTATATTCATATTTATTTTTTATTGCGGAATCAAGTCCCGACCTTCATAGTTCTACCACAACTACCAATTTACTTAATCTTCTCTTGGCTCCTATTAACTCGTACCCTACAGTCCTTACTTTACTTGCTTTACCCAACTATGCTGCTCTTCTTCTCGCAGAACAACCTTTTCAAACACGTCGTTCGATTGCTCATGCTATTGTCACTTCTATTCTAAAGAATGAGACACTTATTGAGACACCTGAAGACGTTAGTGGAATTTTAGATCTTTGTAATGTTCTCATTCGCGATCAAAAGGACGCTACACTTTCAAGTCCGTTCAGTGGGCTTACAGGTGGAAGGGGTACGAGATCAATTGGGACTTCACAAAAGATGGATCCTGAAGAATTTGCAGAAGAACAAGGGTGGCTTGCAAGAATTATTCATTTATTCCAGAGCAGTGACCCTGATGTTCAGTTTATGGTATAATGCTAACATTATTTACTGATTTATTTATTTAGTGATTAATTAATTATTTATATAATTTTCATTTAGCTTCTTACAACTGCTCGTAAACAATTCGCCGAAGGTGGTGAAAGAATACGATATACGTTCCCTGCTCTTGTTACATCTGCTGTAAAATTGGCAAGGAGATATCAGAGATTCGAAGATCAAGCAAGTATTAATCATTGCTTCTTTTACAAAAGTATAGTATTTACTTATTGATTATTTTTGATTAAATTTTTACCATTTTTAGGATGATGGATGGGAAAAGAAGACTTCATCCCTTTTCAGATTTATCCATCAAATCATTTCAATTTTGTATAACAAAGTTGAATGTTCAGATATATGTTTAAGACTGTTCCTTTTAGCAGGACAAAGTGCAGATGAATGCGGCTTTGAAGAAATTTGTTATGAATTCTTCGTACAAGTATGTAATCGATATCATATAGATGTAATTCTTTTTTAGACATGTATTTTTAAATTAACATACTCTTTGTAAAAGGCATTCACAATTTACGAAGAATCGATCTCCGAGTCACGTGCTCAATTCCAAGCAATTACGATAATTATCGGCACCTTACAGACTATTCGCGTATTTGGATTAGAGAATTACGATACTCTTATCACTAAATGCGCCTTGCATGGTAGTAAATTGCTAAAAAAACCCGATCAGTGCCGTGCAGTTTATTTATCAAGTCATTTATGGTGGGCCACTGAAATAGAGGGAAGGGGAACTAAATCATCTGAGGTACTTTACATATGCTTACTCAATAATATAGATATACATGTTGCTTAATTATTTTACGTATTTACTAGGAATTATTCCGCGAAGGTAAGAGGGTTCTTGAATGCTTACAGAAAGCACTAAAGATCGCAGATTCTTGTATGGATTCCGTTACGAATGTTGAATTGTTTGTGGAAATTTTGAATAGATACATATATTACTTTGAGAAAAAGAATGAAGCTGTTAGTATTTATTTATTATTCATACAGTCTAGGCCTATTTAACAATAATAACACTTTATTATTATTATTTTCTTTTGTAGGTTACTGTTAAATATCTTAATGGATTAATAGATTTAATCAATACACATCTAAATAATATTGAAAATCCAGATCAACATCCACCAACTTCTGCTTCTTCTGCTCTTGTTGAACCAGAAGGTAATATTTCTGACTTTGTTGTCAGACATTTCAAGTCAACTTTGTTCCATCTTGAAACACGTAAAGAGGCTGTACGTTCTGCTAAAGCTCAAGGAGATCTTTTTGTGCAAAGTTATGACGAAATTGATACCAGTACTGCATTAGGTAGATAATGAAATTTTTAAGTTAAAAACATTCCTTTAAAGGATAATAATATATAATTGAAAGATTTTAATATACACGTGTAAATATTTAGTATAATAGTTTGTAGGATTCTTATCATACGTATTATGTTTTTTTAGTTTATTTATCCTACTATTTAGAACATTTCAGTATTTATTTAATGACTTTTTTATATTATTATTTTTATTGTGTAATATTATTGTATAAAATACATTTTAATTTATAAAAATTAATTTGTTTTTTATTAATTGCGTTAGCAAAATAATAAAATGATATTTACTGATTTTTTTTTAATTTTAAAAATAAAATTAATAGTAATCATTAAAATGAAAGAATAAATACAGAAGATAAAATCTTATAAACTTAATATACATTCTAACAACTTTGATAAACAATTTAATATAAGAAAAAAAGGAAAGACATTATTATGACAATTATTAAAACAAACAAATAATTAAATAATTAAACATTATTTTTTCATATTCTATACAAATTTGTCATTATTTTTTAATTTTGCGTCCTTGGCTCGCTATCTTAGCTTTATGTGCTTCAGCTTTAGCTAATATTTTTTAAAATTGATTTCATTAATTATTTATGAAGAAAAGCAAGAAAAGCAAGATAATGAAGAAGAAATCAATTAATTATACCTTCTTGTTCTGCTTTTCTTCTTAAAGCAGCTTCTTCACGTTGTTTCTTAATAATGGCTAACCTCTCTAAATCAGCTTTAGCCTGTTCAGTTTTACCCTCCTGATGAAGTTTCCAATATCTTTGTTGTGAGGCCGCTTTTTCAGCAGCTTCTCTAGTGAATCATCAATAAATATAAATCAATAAATAATAAATAGGTAATAACAACATATTTCAATTCGCTATAAAAATTAAATACCTTTCCCTCCGAGTCATTTCTCTTGGTGTATCTTTTATATCAGAAGCTTTCAAATTATCCTTTTTAGTTCTGTTTGGATTTTCTATATCAATAATGCTCAATGATGATAATTTTGAACGATTCTAATACAATATAAATTAAAAAGATATAATATAATTAACATTAATGTTACAAAATAAATAATAAATAAATAAATATATATATATACATCATCATCATCGTCATCGTCATCGTCATCATCATCGTCTTCGATATCACCATCGTCTTCACCTGATACGTCCTTATCAGATCCTTGAGAATTCTTTTTATTTTTAGATTTTTCAATTTTACTAGAAGAAACATTAGGCGTTTCATCTTCACTTTCTTCCTCAGAATCGTCTTCTTTCTTATCTCGATACTGAAAGCAAAACATTATTGACACAAAACAAATAAGAGCAAATAGATCAATAAAGTAATTTGATTTGTAGTTAATAACTTACACCCCACATTCCTTCTTCATTTCCTGTACCAGAAAGTTGTCGTGGATTTGTAAACTTATGTCCACCACCACGAGAAACTTTCCATTTTCGATTATTTTTCTTCGGTGGCATCGTTCAGTCTTTTTTTTTTTTTTTTTTTTTAAAGAAAAAGCTTTTTCGTGAAAAAAAAAAAAAATTTGAATTCCCTCCTAAAAAAGAAATGAAATCAAAATTTGAGATTACGTAATCTGATCAGCATACGCCGGTACAGTCAAATTTAGGTGTACAAGAAAGTAAGTACCAACAAGTTGCCCGAATTCCAATACAGCAACAAAATTAATAAATGCTACAAAAAAAATTCCGCAGTAGCAGATCAAAACATTATTTAATATATCTGATATCTGATATGTCCAAAATCGCGGTTCGAGTTATTTATTTATTTAACATATGACATTTCGTTGCAAATTACCAAGACCTATGTGTTACTGGGCAACTTAAGCTTTATCTCTTTTTAGATTCATGTGATTTATCGTCATATCTGTTTGTCGAACTGCTTTCAGTTAGTCGAAACCGAAACTGAGATCGAAAGTTTGAAGCTTGGGACATTATTTAATAGGATTAGCAAAAGGAAGAGTAGAACAAGATCACTAGCAATATCCTGCCGGATCGCATGCACAAGACCTGTAACTCCGTCATTTACGCAAAACGCAAATGTAATTAATGTTACTATTGATTACGACACTGGAAATTTGTAAAAACCTGTACTATACTATATACAGATGGTGACCAAAATTATCGTTTTGCTAAAATTAGGTAGATCTCACATGTTAACAGTTGATGAGCGTGTGATTTTATCACAATAAATGGTTTCTATGCTTTATAATTTTTGGAAATATAAACTACTTATTATGTAAATTTTTTCAATTAAATAACAAATTTTCAAAAGTCTTTAATAATATAAAAGATACTGTAACTTGGTCAATGTTAAGCCTATCATTATGATTTTACCACCATTTTAATCGTCTAAATGAGTTGAATCTAATGAGCTAAAAACCAATATACTGCAATAATTAGAATAAAAGATATTGTAAAAAATATTTTTTTGAAGTTATCATAAATGCACACTAAATATCAATCCTATAAAGATGCAATTACCACCATTTGAATCCTTTTGATAAGACAAATCTAATGGTATAAATAGGTATAAATATCATCAAAATCCAATCACTAGATATTGAATTATCCTTGATACATGATTTTAAAATTTAAACTTTATAAACTTCACAAACTTACATCCCTGTAAAAAAAGTTGATCCATTTTTTATATTCCATTTTTTTTCCATAAAAGGTTCATATTTCTGGAATTAATAACTTTATATCATGGAATCTATCAAATTATTTACATTTTCTGTGAATGGATCCATAAAAAGCTCATTTTTACAGAGTTTTTACAGAAATAATGGATAAAATTTTTTATAAAACATAAATATTATATTTACAGTCTATATTTTATGCAAAATTATACCATAAACCTATATAATATTGTACTGCATACCTTATTATATTTCTTAATAAATATTACTAAAAAATACATTAAAAATGTATTGAAAGATATTCTTCTAAATAGAATATTATACAAACTGATTAATAGTATGCTTTTGAAATAGAAATAGAATTTATTATTGAATTTTTATTTAAATTTACAAATAAAAGCATAATAAAAGTATTGTTAACCTAAAATTTTATTTTTACTATATTATATATATAATGTTTTTTTACTTTAAAACTGAAAGTAGTAAGATAATTTTGGATACCATTTATAATATCAATTTTTTGATTGAATTGGATTATAGATTGTAAATAAGAAAGCAAAGTTTTATTGCAGTATTAGCAATTAGGATGATAAAAATTGCAATATTAAATTGTAAAAATATGATTTTTACAAATTATCTAGAGATGCCATCATGCCAATTTATAACATATATAGTTAATTTTCACCTAGTAAATTTACAGTTAGAGTTAATAATACATTTGTATAGTATAATGATAGTATAATAATAAATAACGCATGTATTTTAATATCATTAATAAATGTGTTAATGTACAGGTGATGAACATCTTTGATTTGGCGATGAACATCAAATGTTGTGACATTGGTAGTACATTGCAGGGTCCGATGTTCAGCGTTTCTTTATGATGTACATCAAGTGACCGATGTACATTTGATGAACATTTTTCCTGTGACTTCCTGATGTTGATCTTTTTATTAATTCTTGCCATCTCTTGATTTAAAAGTCTACAACTAAGTACATCGCGTGAAGGTGATACGTATCCTAGTCTCATTTCATGAAAAAATTCGATAAAAAATGGATTCTCAATAATTGAGAACGGAATACCACAACATGTAAATATGCGTACAAATACACGAGTAATAGAAGCTACTTTTTGTGGAGGTATATCTGTTGATTCAAACCAATCAGTTAATTCTTGCTGCTTTAACTGGATTTTCCTTTTTTATTATTTCCTGATAAAGGAATAGTAGTATCTTCATCTCCAAAATCTCGTGAAGAAACTACACCCAAATAAAATGAAGAAACAAGTTCTGGGCACTCTTTACACTTGTTAGCTAAATAGTCTTCTAACTCATGAACATGACCACGGGGCCAAGTCTTCTTGCAGTAATTACATTTTGCTGAAAAATGACCAGGAGATGACTTGAGGGGTTGTTTTTCATAATACTTCCACACTTCACTTTGAGGGTGACCACTAAGTTTTCTTTTTTTTTGTTGAGTTGAAGAGTCCATTTTTTACAAAATAACGTGAAAATATAATGCGACATTACAATATATACTCAATTACTCATTATATAATCAATAAATTTAAGGGGTAAAGAATAAAGAATAAAGAATAAAGATGTTGAATGAAATGATTACTAATTTACATGATTACAACAATACAATGAATTCAGAGCTATTGTTCTATTTTTTAATGTAGTATATAATCGGATATTTTTATTTAATTTTAATTTTGATTATCATTTGATTATCTACATTTTCAGTTTCGTCACATGACGAAATATTTCAGATTTTCAGAATTTATAGAGTAATGACGAAACATAATTCAGTTACGTCATTTAATGAAATATTTTGGTTTCGCCCGCATCACTATCCTGGGTGATCTCTTTTATGCGAAGTAAGCTTAATATTGATCAAAAAGCTAAACAGAGAAATAAGTTGTGATGCGACAGATTGCGCAAGTTATTTAATGATGGAATAACACCTGCACAGCTTGTGCAAGCAGGTTGTCGCAAGTGTGATGATATATTTTTGTCTCAAATTCCTGCTCATCAATCAATTACTTCAAGCCAACCAAATAAACATATCTTTGAAATTATGTCGAATCAAGATTTTACTACGCCAGAAGGAAAAAGTGATGTTGTATTTAAATTGAGTTTAAGCGAAGAATTCAGAGATTTAAGGGAGAAGTTTAAAGGAAGTGAGTATATCGAATGGGCATAATACAGATTATTATTTTTATTATTTAGATTAAATTGCAGAACGTAAAATTAGGTATACGCAGTAGATTATGAAATGCAAATTGCAAAATTTTTATTACAATTAAAAAGTTTTATTTTGGGATTTATAATTCTTTTTTAATATTATGTAAGTGGACAAAATTATCCAAAAGATATATTACGTAAGTTGGGATAGCAGCATATAAGATATAACAAATGATTTAATTCTAAAAAATAAAAAGATATATTATGCAAGTTGGGATAAATAAGTGGACAAAATTGTCCAAAAAGATATATTACGTGAGTCAGGATATAAAATAAGTTGAACAAAATTGATATATACACAAATTGAAATAAATAAGTGGACAAAATTGTCCAAAAAGATATATTATGAAATTAGTGGATAAAATTGTCCAAAAAATAGATCGACTTTATAATATTTAGTATAAAATGTACATATTTTCAAAGTTTAAACTTTATCTATTTTTTTTTTTTTGAAAATACTTTAATTTACTTTTTCTGGTTAACCAAAATTTATTAATATTCCCAAAATGTAACTATATATGTAAGTAGAGCTCTGCACAGGTCGGGTCGGGTCAGGTTACCTGGTTAACCTGAACTGAAATTTTTTTCAGGTCAGGTCGGGTCAGGTAAACTGTTCTGACCTGACCCGACCCATTTAACCTGAAAGCACTTTGGATAACTTGGGTTACCCGAAGTTTTATTATTAAATATTGTAAAAAAATGTTTTGTAACGTTTTTTACTTTTTGTTTTTATATATAAAACGCTGAAACTATTTATTTTGGCATTTTTCCTTTTGATTTTACATGTAAAAACGCTGGAATAATTTGTTCTGGTATTTTTCTTTTTGATTTTACATGTAAAAATGCCAAAACTGATAGTTTTGGCATTTTTTTCGATTTTACATGTAAAAACGCTAGAATAATTAGTTCTGGTGTCTTTCTTTTTGATTTTACATGTAAAAATGCTGAAACAGATAGTTTTGGCATTTTTTTTCCAATTTTATATGTAAAAGTGCCAGAATCATTAGTTCTGGCGTTTTTCTTTTGATTTTACATGTAAAAACGCCAAAACTGATAGTTTTGGCATTTTTTTCAATTGTACATGTAAAAATGCTGGAATCATTATAAGTTTCGGCGTTATATAATTTATTTGACCTAAATACAGTATATGTCGGGTCAATGGGTCAGATTGAGTACCGATCAGCACTGACCTGACCCGTGTCAGGTCATGAATTTGATGACCTGACCTGAATATTTTGGGTCAACCCGTCAGGTCACCTGATCTGTCAGGTCAGATTGCAGAGCTCTATATGTAAGTACATGACTCAACATCCCTGAATACTCCTAAATTTAAAACCAAATTGTTGTTGACGAAATATTTCATGCTTATTTTCATCATTTTATTTTTCGTTAGTTGTTTATTTTTAATATTTTAGGTTCCTAATTTTTCTTTGATAAAATGACAAGTTCAGATAGAACCTTCAGAAAATCCAAGAAAAGGACATCATTTTACGGAAGTGTGGAATGGACATATGATAAAAGGAGTACAGAGGACAAAAGGGCACTATGCTGCGATATGTAGCTATTGTAACTTTTATTGAAAGG